GATACAATTTTGGTATACTATCATCAAAAATATTTAAGTTGTGCCTTGTACTTTCCATTAGGACATCTGGATTTTATTCAGTTTTGATTCTTGCCCAAGTCAGGGTAGTTAGGCTAGTCAGGGAGGTATACTATGGAATAGCATGTTTCCCTAGAGTAATACATTTTAATTTGGACACAAAAGGACTGAAGGGTAGGTTGACTGTAATAACACGGTATTTGGTAACGGGGAAAGGCTCTTGAAGAAGATGGATTGTGAACTGTTTTTCCCAGGTGCAGAGTAGTGAGAAATAAGAAGACAGGGTCTGTAAGCATGGCTTTAAGAGTCTGATCTCTTGAGAAAAAAGAAATAAAGATAACTGGTTAATTTATTATAGTCTCCCTGCTCAATAAAATATAGTAAGAGCAAGAATTTCATAGAGAGGCATTGTCTTTTTTCAAAGTGTTCTTTAAATCGTGATTGAAAAAGTGGTTATAAGATATAAAAGGGAGAAATGCAAAATTGTCTTCCTTCTACACAGCAGTGTGACCTAGAGGGAATGCTTGCTGTTACAGCTCATGTCCATCATCCTGATTAGTTGCCTAATCTGATTACTGTTCTTTGTGTTCCATATGTCGGATGCACGGCTTTAAAACCAGCCCCAGTTTTTTTTTAGCTCCATTATAATTAAACAGTTCATAAAACATGCAGGTTTTTCAGGCAGTGAGGTTTTTAAAAGACGGTATGCTTTTATTATAGGGTAGATTTCTGATAGATTTTCAAATTATTAAAATCAGTGATTCTGGGAGTGGGAGTGTTGGCTATATATCAGAATGGGAATTCACATTCTCCTCCCCAATCTCTACTTATAATGAGAGATGTTACAGAGAGGAGTGGATTATTATTGTAAATGATTTGAAGATAGAGAAAAGGCTGAAAGCCACTGGCTTAGAGGAAAGACATGGAACCAGGGGTCCCCAGTGAGCTACATCTTAGTAGTTGATTGAGACAATGATCTGATGCTCCAAGCCTAACAAAACAAAACCAAACCATCTTTCTGTATGATTATCTAATTTATTTCCTCTTTGGGGCTATGGAGACAGTCAAACTTAATCTTTTGATTTTTATACTCTGTGGAGCAGTTCACTTAATGAATTTGTATTCCCGCTGTATTTTAGATTACATTCCTACTTGGCTACTTGGTCCCTAGATCTCCCTAAACCTTCTGACATCCATCCATTTCTCTGTTCTCTTACATTTTTTTTTTCCCTTCTTGTTGCTGTTAACTTCTGAAAAATGTCTCAGTAGTTCCAGAGCAGAGCCGGCTCAGACTCATTAGCCAGAGTAAGTATTGGTGGCAATTAAGAAGTCACATTCAGAATTATCTAGAGATTTGATTCCCTGAAGTAACAGCAACAACCTAAGAGAGAAAGCCTTACCCTGGGGATGAAGGAAGGAAGCAAACTGATGTGATGCTAATTAGTATTTGCTGGTTCTAGGCAGTGTCACTCCACTCCCTGTCCTCTCAGTCACTCACTTTGAAGGAGAGTCAAAGGGAAGTCTTAATTTGATGTGCCATGACTGGGAGTTAGTTCTGAGTTCTGAGAAGGGAAGTAATAGCATGTTGGATGCTTTTCTGTTCATTATAGGATTGTTTATAAAGAAATTCTATGTGACTTATACTTCTTATTGAAAGTGATAGCACCTTACTTTTCATTAACTATGATAGCATATGTGAAAAGACTCTGAAAATTATGAAATATTCTTAAAAATGCAAGGTTTTCTTTTTAAAAATATCCTATAGACACTATTGCTCCAATTCGAGAGGCGGACTAAGTTACAGAGGTTGTATGATTTATTCAAGGTCATGCAGCTAAGTGACTCCCTGAGGATCAAGCCTAGCTCTTCTGACTCTAGGGCTAGGCCTGGTGCTTCCTTTTTTTTTTTTTTAAGATTTTGTTTATTTATTTGACAGAGAGTGAGAGAGCACAAGCAGGGGAAGGAGCAGGGAGAGGGAGAAGCAGGGTCCCCGCTGAGCAGGGAGCCTGATGCGGGGGCTCGATCCCAGGACCCTGGGATTATGACCTGAGCTGAAGGCAGCCGCTTAACGGACTGAGCCACCCAGGTGCCCCCCTGCCCTTTTTTTTTAAGAGGGAGAGAGAGAGAGAGAGAGAGAGAGAGAGAGAGAAAGTTGTTGGGGGAGGGGTAGAGGGGAGAGAGAGAATCTTAAACAGGCTCTAGCAGGTACTAACTAGCATGGAGCCTGTCACAGGGAGCCTGACACGGGGCTTGATCTCTCAACCCTGACCTGAGCCGAAATCAAGAGTTGGACACTTAACCAGCTGAGCCACTCAGGCTCCCCTAGGTTCAAGTGTGTTGATACCCATGGAACTAATCTGCTAGACCAAATGAACCTATCTTGTGATTCCCTATTTGGGTGGATTAATTTAAATAACAGACTATAATTGAGAGACCCAAAGATGAAAGTCCCATTGATTAAAAAAAAAAAAAGTTTTGCCCTATCTATAAATTAAAACATCCTGACTCTTCCTTCTTGGTCCTGCTACTCTTGATGGATCTCCAGTCCAGACCAGCCATACCCGGCCTTGGTCTCCCTCACCATATAGTAGCCAGCTTTCATGCCTTGCTATGATCTCACATACTCAGCCAAGTGCAGGCTCTTGACCCGGAGTGTCTGGGTTCAAACACTGCCTGTACACCTTGACCTCAGGGTTTTCTCATCTGTAAAATGGGGATAATAATATGCCTCAAAGGGTTGTTAGGAGCGTTAAGTTCAGTAAGTGATCACAAATGTTAGCTATTTTCTCTATATACTGCTAGAGATATTTGCAAGTAGGATTCTGTCATTGATATTTTTCTGAAAGGATTGTTGGTAATCTGGGAAGCATCTGTGAGGAAAATGTTCAGTGAAATTGATGATAAAGTGATGTTGAATATAGTTCATAGATCCCTGGCACTCAGTAATTTCCAGAACAGTCTCCTTCCCTTTTCTCTGACTCCCTTAGCTCCCATGTATTCCGTTTTTCCCTTCTCCCTCTAAGTCATCTATAACTGGCCCCTAACTTGAATATAGCATTTGATACATTGTATTGAAATTTATATAATTCTGTGCCTTCCTCATAGAATGTTTTAAGCACCTAGCGGGGTGCCAGGGATGTCAGGGGCATGTTGCGGAACTAACGTGTTCTCTGCCTCACTCCTGGTTCCAAGCCTTTCTCCTTTCATCCAAGCAACCTCACCTGTCTCTCCACCTTCCCATCTTCTGGGCCTCTCATTGTCTTTTCTGACCTTCTCATTGCTTATCATTTCCCCACATGCTCTTTACCTGCATGGTAAATCACAAATGTGTTCCTCTGGGGCAAAAGAACCACATGGAGCACAAAGACCTTTATCAGTGAACGGAACACTGAGGCTGAGCTGGCGGTTTGAGTTTGGGCCACTGGAAGCATCTTCTTGCCCTTGGCAGGATAACAGGCGCCCAGTTTTTATTTACGATTAGAGGCTTCTAGCTCTTATACCTGTTTGGTTTTCCTTGTCAAGTACTGTTTGGTAAACGTTTTTTTCTCTTTCTGTGTGGAACTTATCTTGTACCTCTCCTACACTTTATGCTTCAATCCTGCCTTATTATGTCCAGCTCATTTTTTAATCTCCAAGATGCACTGGCAAGGAAGAGCTCTGGCTTCTTTGTGTGACCTTGAGCAAATTATATGACCTCTCTGAGCTGGTTTCCTCATCTGTCAAATGGATAAGAACACTGACCTGCCTCCCTCCAGTGGTTGTCTTGAGACTCAAATGAGAGACATGTCTCATACAGACATTGTCTACAAATAAATAGAGGAAAGAATAGATAGGGTTATTTCTTCTGTCATCTCATTGCCTGTTATCAGTATGTTTAAGTATGGACTGTGGGTTCTAGGCAATCTGTACTTTTCCAGATCTTCCTTATACACACTAGAATTGAAATCCTCCAATTGCCACATATTCTTAGCTGCTGTTTTGTGTTTGGTTCAGCTGCCTGCCAAATATTCTCTAAATCCCACCCTCTGAGGCCTTCACTTTTTCTAGCCGAGCTTAGCCTTTGCCTGTTATGTTCCTGCTGTGTGTTGTGCTACAGAAGTTGCTTATCATTGTATGGTGACCAGATGGCTTACACATTGCTTGTGCACATAATATATTCTTAAAATATTTAGGGTATTCTTCTTGGGTTTTAGAGCTGTAGAAAGCAAGGCAAGGAAGGATCTTTTTTTTTTTCTTTCTCTGTTTTGTTTCTTGGTGGCTTCCCTCATAAAACATGGTGCCAATTAAGTGTTCAATGCAGGTTGCTAACCGTAGATATATAAATGTGGATGTTTTGTAAATAAATTTGTTACAAGTCTGACTTTTTCCTAGTGGATTTCTATTTAATTTGGACAGAAAAAAACGCTGAGCTTATTAGCACCTGACACTAATATATATGACATAGGTCTATTTATAAACATTTCTCAGAGTACATTACAGTCAGAATTATCTTTTTATCTTCAGCAACTAATCCCATTATATATATGTGGAGCAGAAGGGTTTATAGTATGTGGATTTTCTTCCTCCTCCCCAATTGATTAAAGTCTGAATGTTTTAACCACCATGAACTTATTTTTGAGTATAAAGAAATGTTTCCTTGGTATAGTTGTAAAATTATTTTAATTTCTGAGATTTTGTGTCTTCATTAAACAAGTAGTTAAGATAACTTCTCTGTGCTTTAAATGAGGTTAGAGTAATTAGAAGTTCCTACTTGTAGAAAATTCAGCACTCTTCAGTGTATATCAGTTTTACACTAATACCAATATTAGTATTAATCTATCTCAAACTCTTGAAAGCAGTTGTGGAGAAAAATTAAAGTGAATATTTGGATTTTTATTGAATGAGTTTGAGTCCACCTATACATACCTAATTCGTCACTAAGACTTTTTATTTTAGAAGCTGTATTTCTTAAAAATGTTTACTACCTTCTTAATGCTTTCCAGGAACCAGATCCTGAATTGCCAGTGTCTCAGGTAAAGGTTTAGCTGCAACCTTTAGTTTAGAGAATACTGTAGTTCCAATTGCTTACTTGTTCCTGTAGATTAGAAAGTTTGCTGCATATCTGTTAATGCTGTTATAAAAGTAGCTATCTCTACCAGACATTCTGTACCTTTTTATGTAAAGTATTATATTTCCAGTATTTTTATATCTATGGATGAGTAGTCTTATGGTCTTAGGACTTGGAGCTTAAATAGAAATGACCAATATTGACCAGAGGTTGAGAAAAATAGAGGAGGAGGCAAGGGGAACCAGGAGCTTAGAAAGGGAGCCAAGAAGTCAGCAGAGCCCCAAGTGTCCAAAAAGACTGTGATGGATAGGACAATATGTTTTGAGTAAAGAGTAGGCTGACTCTGCTTGGGAAGGGCTTGGTTTTAGACAGTGGTGTCTGCCACCACGAGGAAGAAAGGAAGGGCACACTGGCCAGATAGCCATGTCTACTAAATCATCGTGGTTAGAGATAGGAGGTGGCCACAGAGACCTGCTAACTGGGTAAGACACAGTGAATGAGTCTGGAGGGAACCCAAGGAGAGGAGGTGAATCTTTTAACTCAAGAGGGTTTCCAGTAAGTCTGGGAATAAGGCGAAGGGATGAAAGTGCTACAAATCAGAGAGCTTAAATATTGCCAGGTGTTTGCCCTGCCACATAAGAGAGAATTGTAACAGTGGTTTTTAGGTAAATAAACAGTTTGGAACCTCTTATGTGGTTCATATGAGTAATCATCCAACCTTTTAGAAGAAAGCAAGATACAGAGTACTCTGATAGAGGTCTGTGTGACATTAAACAGGCACCGTAAATAGTTTAAAATGTAGCACTCTGTTCTTGAAAAGGATTTAAACATCGTCTACAATGTTCATAATCATGATTTCCAAATTGATAGATGGTACAAAGCTGTTTTTTGCATTATATATGTACAATTTGTTTGAGAAGGACCTAAATTATAAATAAAGTAATGTGCTTTTTGTTTTCAGTAATTTTGGAAGTCTTTGTTAAAATTAAATTAAAACACCAATAATTGCATTGTTGGTATGGTTTTAAAACTGTAAATGGCATTTGAAAGTTTCCATCCAGCGCAGGGACTTGATGAAGGATCTGTATTTAGTATTACTTTCCTGTTCTGTTACTGTAGACTGAATTATCCACTGGATAGTGATCTAAAAGAATAAAAAGGGAACAAGTCTGACAGGATTCTTTTGAGTTCATTATTTACACATTTTGCCTTCCTCATTTGCACATTTTTATAATTTCAAAATAAATGAGGCTTTACAATAACAATTCGATATTTTGTGTCTAAGTTTTCATTTTCATAGAGTAGGCAGAGTGTCACATGTTACTGATTCTTATGATGGCTCAATCAGGTTAGACAGACTGTTCTTTGGCAGCCTTATTCTAATAATAACCTAACAAAATTGTTTCTTTTATGTCTTAAACTAGTGGCCTCAAATTCTGTCTTAAAAGGAACAGGACAATTCAAACATGTTTTGCTCAGTCACTAGAGTTTTTACCTTTTCATATATTTATTTTCAAAAATTGGATCAACCTCACAGAAGATAGTACAAGCAAGGCATTATTTCCCTGATGTTATTGCCTCAAGAGTAATGTCATGTAGACTGCCTCAGTAGGTGAAGGAGATGGGATTATGTTTCACAGGCAAAGAAGGACATAATTGACATGATGATTACTCACTTAGATGAGAATCTACGCTTTTCCCTTTAGAAAAGTTCCTACACTTCTATGATTTTTGTTGATTTCACTGTACTTCCAATGGATAGGTATTCAAATGTATTTACTACATGACCCTGTCATTTAGTAACAACTTAAACATATCTGATAGCACCAATTTATATTTTTATTCAGATGCAAGGGGCAGTTTGGGATCATCCATTGTGCCTTGTTAGCATTTTACTCTAATCACTGATTAGTTTTGAACTTTTTTTTTTTTTTAATTTAAACAGAGGATTTTAGGGCTGTAAAACATACTTGGCTTGTTTCCAAAATAAAATTTTTAACTTTTTTTTTTTAAAAGCCAAAGCCCCATCTGCTGTTTTCATCAAAATCCCAAGAATTGTTCACATTGCCAAGAGCAGTTCTTGAATACAGTCTGATGTTTAATCAAGCAGTGATATGTGATTTTCAAGGTCACTTTTGTTAGGACAGAAGGAAAGCCAGGAAAATTAATATTCTCAAATACTGATGAAATTAAAGTAAAATTAAAGTAAAATAAAGTAAAATTAAGTAATGGTTTAAGTAGGTGTTATTATAGATCTTTAAATATACAAGATTCCCACCATTATTTCTACTTCTGAAGAATTAGGTTCTAGAAACTGAAATAAATATAGATCTATTTACCTTTTTGAAAAAGTGATTTCTTATGGAATAACATTTTTAAAAAGATGTGAAGCATTTATTCATTTGGTGGGGAGGGAACAGTGGATTTACTTTCTTTTATTTTGCTTAGCCTAATATTAAAAAAAAAAAGTTGTGGGGTGCCTGGGTGGCTCAGTCGTTGGGCGTCTGCCTTTGGCTCAGGTCATGATCCCGGAGTCCTGGGATCGAGCCCCGCGTCGGGCTCCCTGCTCGGCGGGAAGCCTGCTTCTCCCTCTCTCACTCCCCCTGCTTGTGTTCCCGCTCTCCCTGTGTCTCTCTCTGTCAAATAAATAAAATCTAAAAAAAAAAAAAAAAGTTGTACCTTCTTAATATTTGAGAGGTTAGTAGGCAGATGGATGTCAGGAAGCATGATGGAGTGGACTATAACAGTAGATACATGCAAATTGTTAAAAAGATATGTGCAGGGATAATTAATGCCCAGCTATGTAAATGATACCATAATAATAAAAACTTAGCTTTTAAAAAGTCGATTTAACTAGAACTCCAAGTCATAGTTTTGAAGCTTTATGAGCTCCTCCTCATCAGGATGAAAGTCCATATGTCTCACTGTGGCATACAGGGTCCCTCATCTGCCCTTTGCCTTTTTCTCCAGCTTCCTCTCTGATTGCTGCCTCAGCTGAACCTGATTCAACCTACTCGACTGATTTGGATTTGCCAAACTTGCCACCAGCCTTCAAGCTAGCCTGCCCTGGTCCCGTTGCTTTGCCTAGTAAACGCTTTCCAGTCTTGGCCATTAGGAAATTCTCTTCTACCCTTCTTCCACCGCCCCCCCCCCCAGGCAGCTGGGTGCCTCTTTCTGTCTTCCCATAGTATGCTCCAGACTTTTATTATTGTGCTTTTCCTACAACACTGAAATTCGTGTGAGCTAGAAGACCTGTGGCTTACTCATCTCTATTCCCAGGACCTGGCATGTATGTAGCAGGTGCTCCCTGGTAGTATGGGAGTGAACCAGCGGAGCCCACATCCTGCCTCACTGTTTCAAAGCAAATGCTGCAGGTCCTTCCTGTCCACCAGACTGCTGACCAAGGAACACCCTTTTGAGAAATGAAAGCCATCAGATCCTTGCAGGGCAGTCTGAGCTGTGGGGACGCAAGATAAATCAGGATTACTTATTTCCATCTTTGAAGTTAAATTAAACCATTAGTTCAAGCCAGGGATGACTTCCCTGACCCCTGAGCATACTTGTATAGATCTGCCAACCTTCCTGATCTTTGAGGATTGAAAACCTCCAATTGTTTCCACACTTTAGTGGATCCCATAATTAGATGCAGTTCCAATTGGAATTTTTTTTTTTTTACAAATTAAGTATTTGATTCCATATTCTGCTCATTCAATGGTGTTAAATCCACACAGTTGAAACATTTTATTAAAAGTTATCTGATGAGAATACAGTAAACCTTACCCAGGAAAGTATAAGCTAAAAAACCCAATCATCTAACCAAATATAATTTCATTTTAGGAACCTAAGGATGCAATGAAGGCAGCCTTCTTTATTCCCATTAAAGTGAAAGCATGAAGAGTTTCTTCTTTCCTTAAAAATTTTTGTCTAATATATGCATTCCAATTATTTTAGCCCACAAAAAGATCTCTTCTTTTTAATTCCTATTAAACTATTTTCCATACCACACACCTGTCACCTATCATGCACTGCTTTGCCTTGTCACTTAATTCAAGTAGGTGATGTGTTCAGGGAAATTAGAATCCCAAGTTTTAATCTTCTCATGTCTCCTTTTCAGAACCTAGCCCAATGCCATGTAACTAGGAGGTGCTCAATAGATATGGACTGACTGAATGAATGCATCCCGGGTACTTTACATGAGGACTTTTTTGTTCTCTGCTTCTAGTCTCTAGTGAAGCAGAAAGTAAACATTTCTGATAAGGCTGTTTTAAATGTTTAACAAGATATTTAATTGTGCAGACCTTGACATCTAATTTCTCAAGGTAGAGCAAAGCTGATATTTTCCAGATTTCTTAATTATGTTTTCCATTCTACCCCCCCCCACACACACACTCTATGGCAGTTTTTCTACTGGCTAGATCACAAACCAAGATTGTGTTGATTAGTTATTGGGAATTGGGAGAAATTGATCTTAGTTCAGTTCAACATTTTTGGAATACCTAATGTGTGCAAAAACCATAGGTGTTATGGAAAATTCAGAACTAAACAAGGTAAAAAGGCTTGTGTTCTGGGGAAGGGAGGGCTAACATGTGCCCAATAATTACATAGTTTCTCGAATATGGTAAGTACATATAATAGAAATGTAAAGAGAATGCTCTAGGACAAAGACAAGAAGTAAGTAGGTTTAGTAGGTTTCCCCATCAGGGAAGTCTTCATGATGGACTTCTGGTCCTGAAGGCAGAAAGAGCACTGTGGTCGTAGCTTAATTAATTTGTTTTCAAATTACTATTCCAGTAAAATTTTCTCTAAAGATCTTCTTTTACTTATAAAAAGGCATGTTAGAAGACTACCAGGCAATACCACACTTTTATTTACTAGGTAATTGATCTAATGGGTATTTCTTGATTAGTAATGACCTTGCCTTCCTGTATTAGTTTCTTGACATAGTTCTTTAAATTAGTATAATGCACTAAGTGGTAAACATGCCCAATAAAAAGTTAGACAATAATAAAGCTTCCATAGGCAGTATTGTTTTTTAAGATTTTATTTATTTATTTGACAGACAGTGAGAGAGGGAACACAAGCAGGGGGGATGGGAGAGGGAGAAGCAGGCCTCTCACTGAGCCGGGAGCTCAATGTGGGGCTCGATCCCAGGACCCTGAGATCACGACCCGAGCTGAAGGCAGTCGCTTAACTGACGGAGCCACCCAGGCGCCCCTATAGGCAGTACTTCTAATACTACTTAATATATGCTTTATTTTATCCATGCTTATAGGCAGCTTGGATTTTAAAGGCACGAGCACTAACCGAAATGGTGTACGTAGATGAAATTGATGTAGATCAGGAAGGAATTGCAGAAATGATGCTGGATGAAAATGCTATTGCTCAAGTTCCACGTAAGTATTGGTTCTTCCCTTAAGTAAATGAAATGCCATTAGGAGGAAGAATACTATTTGTATATAAAAGAAACACAAGACATATACATGAAAAAACATTTATCAAGTAAATGGTCTCTATCCTGCCATATAGTACAAAGACTTTCCTTCCCCAATTCAATTATATTATCTTAAACTTAAGATGTGAGATTGCTGTATAAAGCCATTTTTTAATAAAAGCCATATTATGCATTTAAAAATATTTTATATTTAAAATGCATTCTAGCTGAACTGCTTATCTAAGTATATCAGAACTGAGAATTGCAACCCAGGAAGCACCCAAACAACAGAAGTGTTCTAAAAGGATTTTTTTTTTTTTTAAAAGATCACTGGAAAACATCACTTCACTGTAATAATTGAAGGTGATTTGCTCTAATGCTTGATGTGAGGTGACGGGGTGATATGCTGGCCTGTGAATGCTGCTGGGATTGTCACAGAAGCCCAGTCCCCAGCTTGCGGATGTGCTAGTGCAAATGGTATTTAGTGATTACCACGACATTTGGTGGTCTTGCTGGTATTTGATAGTTATAAGTTATCAGTCATTTATATGTTTTGAAAGATGATAACTTTTAAAGCTTCAAATGAAAATTGAGAAAAAATACATATTGTTCATGTTAGAATTCTTTTTTCCCCATCGTTTTGCTCTTTTGGAGCTAAAATGTCCCAATTCTAGATTTTATTATCAGAAATAAACTATGAGTATAGAACCGTCTTTTGGTGCTTTGAAGCTTGCTAGCCTTGAGTTTGAACCCCAGCTCTACTAACAGGTTGACCTCTTTGCTTAACCCTCTAAGCCTTTGCTAAACAAGTGAATACTACCTACCTTCCAGACTTTGAGGATTACATGAGATAACATAAAATAACATGATAGATATTCAATAAATACCAGTCTCAAACACATTTCCCTAAAATACATTTCCTATTATTAATGTCCTTTGCACCAGGCCGGCGCATTTCTGAAAATTATGTTAGCTGACAGTTTTTACAGATTAACAACTAATATATTAATTGAATTTGCCATCTCATCTCACAGGCCCTGGCACATCTTTGAAACTCCCTGGAACTAATCAGACGGGAGGGCCTAGTCCAGCTATAAGGTATGCACTTCTGTTTCTTTCTTTTTTTTTTTTTTAAAGATTTTATTTATTTATTTGACAGAGAGAGACACAGCGAGAGAGGGAACACAAGCAGGGGGAGTAGAGAGAGAGAAGCAGGCTTCCCGCTGAGCAGGGAGCCTGATGCGGGGCTCGATCCCAGGACCCTGGGATCATGACCTGAGCTGAAGGCAGTTGCTTAACGACTGTGCCACCCAGGCGCCCCTGTACTTCTGTTTCATACCCTCTGTCCTTAAATAGTGACCAGACTGTAGGAGAATCTTCCTTTATTGACCTTCTTTGTATTTTCACAATGTACACTTTTCACAGGCCAATCACTCAAGCTGGAAGACCCATTACAGGTTTCCTTAGACCTGGCACACAGAGTGGAAGGCCTGGCACCATGGAGCAGGCCATCAGAACTCCCAGAACTGCCTACACAGCTCGCCCTATCACCAGTTCATCTGGAAGATTTGTCAGGCTGGGAACGGTAAATTCTGTCAGCTTTACCATAGTTTGTATTACCCAAGTAACTTTATGTTATATCATTTTTTTGCTATTGTTATAGTGGAAAGTTATATGGAAGATTTTTTACAGGTGATTCTTTTTTACTTATGTTGCCTTTATAATTTTTATGCTCATTAAACTCAATTTGTGTTTTAAAAGAAAGTCTCAGATCTCTTGTTCTGTCATTTTTCCCCCATAGGCTTCCATGCTTACAAGTCCTGATGGACCTTTTATAAACTTATCTAGACTGAATTTAACAAAATATGCCCAGAAACCTAAATTGGCAAAGGTATGTACTTAAAGTGATTATATGTTATGAAGTAATGTTAGATGTATTATCATAACAACATTGTAGGAAATAGAAAAAAAGTTGTGAAGGAAAGGTGATGTCTTGATTGAAATGGAAATGTTTAATTACTGAACTGTGTAAAATTTCTCTTAATCTTTTGAGTTAAGTAAAGTCAATCAGAAATAAAGTCTATATACCATTATTATAGGAAATTCTTTTTCCTCTGATAAACAACAGCAACTTTTTAAAAAATTTAAGTTCTAGTTAGTTAACATACAGTGCAATATTGGTTTCTGGAATAGAATTTAGTGGTTCATCACTTACATAAACACCCAGTGCTCATCCCAACAAGTGCGCTCCTTAATCCCCATCACCCATCTAGCCCATCTCCCATCCATCTCCCTCCGTCAACCCTCAGTTTGTTCTCTACCATTGAGGGTCTCTTATGGTTTGTTTCCCTGTCTCCTTTCCTTTTTCCTTCCCCCTCCCCATATGAACAAACAGATGAACATCTGTTTTTTTTCTTAAATTCCACATATGAGTGAGATCATATGGTATTTGTCTTTCTCTGACTGATTTGTTTCACTTAGCATAACACTCTAGCTCCATGCAAGTCATTGCAAATGGCAAGATTTCATTCTTTTTGATGGCTGAGTAATATTCTATTGTATATATATACACCACATCTTCTTTATCCATTCATCAGTCATTGGACATTTGGGCTCTCTCCATAGTTTGTCTGTTGTTGATAAAGGAATAGCAGTTTATAACAAAGAAAGCAGATATGCAGCATCATCTTTGTGGAAGGAAGCTTAGAAGGTCCTCAGTGTGTGTGTGTTTTTCTTTTTCATCTTGGACTACTCTCAGAAAAATAATCTTCTATCCTTGTAGAATTTTAGGACTGTCCAAAAGGAAGATAAAAAAATATGTACTTCTAATTAGTAATTAGGCAGGCATCTCACTATCACTGACTGGCTTGAGTGATCCTTATTGAGAATTACATTAATAATTCTAACTACTCAAAGACTAGTTGCTCGGGGGCACCTGGGTGACTCAGTCAGTTGAGCGTCCGACTTTTCCTTTAGGTTCGGGTCATGATCTCAGAGTCATGAGATTGAGCCCTGCATCTGGCTCTGCACTCAGCAGAGGGAGTCTGCTTGAAGATTTTCTCCCTCTGCCCCTCCCCCCACTTGCATGTACACGCACGTTCTCTCCCCCCTCTCAAATAAATAAATAAATCTTAAAAAGATTAGATGTTCCTTTAAATTAAAGAGAGTGAAAGTAAGTGTGTGTATGCGTGGTGAGAGAGTGAGAAAGAGAGAGAGAAAGAGCCTGAGAGGTCCATGACCTTTTCAGTGTAAAGATAAACTTGGAGTTGAGCTTGGAATAGTTCAGAGACATGAGCACTTAGCTGATGCTGAAACTGGTCTAAGCCTAGCCCAGGTTTGTAGCTGTAATCTCTGTGAATTCTGTGCATGAGTGCTGAGTTCATTCTGAATCTTAGTTCTAATGGTGTTTAACATATTTACTAAATGTCAAACACTAAGGAATATAAGAATGGATGCTAGCCATACAGAGTTGAAATTAAAATCAGAAAAAGAAATGTCAGTTGATAGGGAATTAGCCTGTAATAACACTGATGACATTTTTCTTAATTTCTTATTTGACAGCAATCTGGTCAACTTCATTTTACTAGAATTGTAAGGCTATACTTATTTCCCTAACCTTTGTGAGAATGGAGTATTAACTGCAACTCATATGGAATATCTGGTTCCCCTGCCTTTTTAGGCCATTTACTTGAGGTGGCTGGATGGCTAGTTGGTACCATTGCTGTTTTCTTTTTTAAAGATTTATTTATTTGAGAGAGAGAGAGAGAGAGAGAGGAGGTGGGGTGGTGCAGAGGAAGAGGGAGAGAGAGAAACTTAAGCAGACTCTGCACTCAGTGTGGAGCCTGATGTGGGGCTTGATCCCATGATCCTGAGATCACGACCTGAGCTGAAACCAAGAGTCAGTTGCTTAACTGACTGCGCCCCTCAGGTGCCCCCCCCCCCGTTGCTGTTTTCTATCTGGGGAGTGCAGTCTGTGAAGGCATCTCCCTCAAATGAAGATGCTTCTAGAACAGACCTGGTCTGTGGTAATAGATTTAAACTGAACTAGATTTTGTGCTTTTTTAGTGTGTTGTAGAAATAATGCCCACCTTTTCTGTCTTTGGTTTCCAACTCGCCTTTACTCACCAGGACTCATTTCTGATAAAGATTGCTTGAGTTGTTTATGGTAACTTTTCACAGCAATGGGAGCACCAACTGCACTCTAAACTTTTCTTCTTTATAAGAGAACAAGTGGAGGTATAGGTATAGTTTTTAAAAGAAGGGCCTTGTCCTGATTTCTTTTTTTCTTTCTTTGGTTGCCTCTTAAGTCTTCTCTGGTAATAACCCTGATATGCTAGCCTCTTTGCAAGTGTCCAATAATGGCTTTACAGACAAACGTGATACCACCAAGGGGTATTTCAGGAAATGCTTATTTATCCAGATGAGTTGAGTGAAGTCATCTACACCTCCCATTTTACACTTAAGCTCTACTTTGTTTCAAAAGGAACTTCCAGATTTTCCTCATGTCTAAAGTGTCATTATCCATAGCATAATCACTATATCATATATGTAGAATGTGTAAAAGAATGGGCTGAATCTGTTTTAGGATAATTCCAAAGTTGTTCTTTTCATTTGTCTCTTTCTAGTAAAATAGTATGTGTAATATGAAAAACATTGTTTAGTTCTTTGAGTTTTCCAGTTTGTAGTCTATAAAAACAGGAATCAGGTATAAATTGCTGTATTTTAAAATGGTGATTATAACAGATAATGGATAGACCATTTACTCATAAAGGTACTTTGAGAGTACCTTCTTATTTTGGTTCAACCCAGCTGCTGTCAAAATAGTCTCTCAGTTTTGATATAACAATAGAGTGCTTTTGTTAAAATAAAATCTAATGTATTTTTGGCATTTTTTTTCTTCATAGGCTTTGTTTGAATATATCTTTCATCATGAAAATGATGTTAAAACTGTAAGTTTTGAATTCATGCTATTTTCTCTTGTAATTTTCCTGACTTTGGGGATTTTGATTCTGAAATGTTCTATTTCTTACCTTATCAACAGAGGGAATTATTAAAAATTGGAGCATTACTAATACTTTCAAATCCACTGTCAGTTTCAAGAGGAAAATATGTTATAAATATAGAAGTGGTAAGAACTGTGCCTGGTCCATAGAGTATGTAGATATCCACTGAAGAGCAAGATACAGATAATTGAGAATATTGCATAATGTGCTTGTGCTACAGGTTATTTTTCATGCTAACAGTTGGCACTGTTGATCCATTGCTTTCCTGTAGTCCATATAGTATATTATTATAGGTTTACTCATATGAGTATTTCTGGTTTCTTTGTAATGCACCCCTTCCCCCTCCTTAAACATTTTATGATAGAAAAATTCAAACACACACAAGTAGAGAGAATGATATAATGAGGCAGTATCACCCATCACCCAGCTTCAGTAATATTCAATCATCTTGGTAGCTTCTTGGCAGAGTTTTAAGGGTATATGCATATGACTTCATGTGTTTCATTTTTTACATGCTAATATGCAAATGACAAATTTTGTCAAATTGAACGTAGTTAATTCCGCAGTGTCTGATGATAGTATTTTCCCTTTTTCTTATTAGTTTAGGGAAAAAGCTTTATAACCATATGTTAAATATTCAGGAAAATAAAAACGTTTTCCTCAGTTGTGTTTTCTGTGTGTCAACCACTGTGCTATGTGCTAGGAAAACTAATAAAAATATTTTTTTTTCCTGACTCTATAAGCCATGCAGTCTAGCTGAGAAAATAAAATTGGCATAACGAAACAAAGCGGCAATTGCCAAGCTGTGAAATTGTCAACAGGTAGCAAAGGGAAAAAAAAAATCAAAGGGGTGATATCAGTAAAGAGCCACAAAGTCAGTCAGATTTTTGGGGAGAAGGAAGGAAAATAAATATAAAAAAGTGTAAAAACATGAGCAAGGTATGGAGTGAGAAATAAATTGTCCATCTACTAAGAAATGGGAGCATCAAAGAGATATTTTAAAGAATGAAGTGGTGGAACATGATGATAGATTAGATGTGGAGGACAGAGGAAAGACACACATCAAATCTGCCTCCTAAAGGTGCTACGAGAAAGATTGTTTTACTAACAGAAATGGGATAATTAAGGAAGGAAGTAGTCAGTTTCTACGGAAGCTGGATAATTCACTCGAAGGCATTTTGAGTTTGAAATTGTGACAGACTATCCAAGTGGAGATACCACTGCACATCTTGGAAGATGCGGTACTAACTGTTGGTGAGAGCCTGCACCCCATACACACAATGTGGAAGTTGTCTGTCACGAAGTGCTAGTGCATGTGGCCATGTAGGGAAGAGAGGAAACCCAGGTTGGAGCAGAAATCATGCATATTTCTGTAAGTAAGTGGGTACAGGCCATTTTCACTTAATATAAAGGTGGGCAGAGGCTTTCAATGTGACATGTAAAATCATGTAGTTAAACTGTCCTTATAAAGAAACATCCAAATAAAGGAGTCAATCTCTACATAGCATAAAGCTGTATCTTGACTTTTTGAGGATTAATTCATTTATTGAAGAGACATGTAGTCTTTCATCTAAAAATGTCTAAGCCAAGACAGTGTGCTAGCCACTGTTCTAAGGCCTTGAGATCACAGAGTGAAGCAGGTCGACAAAATCTCTGCCCTTTTGGAGATCATACCCTGGTTGTGCAAGGAATAGAGACAACCAGCAAATTTAGAAACACATCACGTGTCATGGGATAATAAGTACTATGAGAGCAACAGAGCAGAAAAGCAGGTAGGGGATTGGACAGTGCTACAGGGGAAGGTGCTATTTTGGATGGGGTGGAAGGTGGTCAGTGAAATCCACTCTGAAAAGACACTTAAACAGAGACCTAACAAAGGGGGGCGGACCATACAGTCTTGTGTAGGAAGAATATGTAAGTCAGAGAGAACTTTAACTGCAAACGCCCTGAGTGGAGGCACGCTTGGATTGCTCAAGAAACAGTAAGGAGGCCAGGGTGGCTGGAGTGAGGGCTGTGAGGGGAGGAGTTGCAGACAGTGGGTTCAGAAAGTAGACAGATTGTACGCTGTTTGTAGATCATGGTGATGGTGTCTTTATCAATAGATTCATCTTGAGGATGTCGCTCTACATCTTGGCATTGATATAATGGTGTTGAGGAATAGGAACCACATTGAAATAAAATAGGATTTATTCTCCGCACTAACTGATTATATACTAAAGGTTCTAAGGATTCTAAGGAGTCTTAACAGACTTTAACCTTTACGTATTATGTGAGTATTTTAGAATGCTTTCACTGTTCTTCATATTCATTGAGTGAAAAAATATGTGAACATCTTAAAATCTTAAAATTTGAAAACGTTAAACAAATAGAGCAGTGACTTTCAAATTTTTTTTTTAAGCAGCACAACCTTTCTCTTCAAATGACATCTCATGCAGACCCTGCTGTATAAAACAGACAAAAGCAGGGCTGCTTGAATTTAAACAGAAGTAGCAGACCAAGAACACACCCACCAGGACTCCTTACTCCTCCACCACGTGAGCTTCAGCCCCTCAAAGCCTAGGGCTCTTAAGTAGTTCCTAAATCCTACTGTTTCTGCATCACCTGGTGAATTTTAAAATAATGGATTTCTGGATCCGTGCTTGACTTCCTGAATCAGAATCCCCATGGGTATGTCTGGTAAATCTGTTGTTAAAAGTTCCACAGGCAATGCGAGTTTTCAGCCAGGATTGGGAACTACTCCTGAAGAATATGGTTTGAAAGGCAATGATTAATAGAAAGCTCGAATGCTAGGCCTTCTAATGTAGGAAAATAGAGCTGGGAGCATGAACAGGACTTGAAGGCCAGAGCTGCATGTAACAAATGAATAGGAGGGAGTGTGTCTCCTGGCTTAATGGAGGAAGTCCACAAATTAAGAGAAAAGGCACTGCAAAAATGATTGTCAAATAGATCTCAGTAGCAAGGAAGTGATACAAAATTGTGTTTGAGAGCTAAAGTCCCCACCTACAAATTTTATATATTTTATTCTTAGAACAATGAAACACTCTTTAATACTCCAAAAACAGGCAACATTGTGTGCAATTTTTGACTCTTTTTGAAATAGATTCTTATACTTCATTAAACAACACTGTTGAGAAAATTTGTTTAAAAACTTTCTTATAGACATTTGAGTAGTGAAGAATTTTTTTAAAAATTAAATCAGTAAGCAATAGAATAGTTCACAGATTTGGTTGCATTTATGAAGCAATCACAAAGGATAAAGACGTATTGATTCATATATATCTCTGCACAGTGAACAGAAACAAAACAAAACGCAACATAGAAGGACAACGGAAGGGTGAATCATGTACATGAGCATGATTTAAAAATGTTAGTGTTTGTTAAATAGGAAAAAGCTTATCTGACTTTGTTAGGAAATGTTTCATGGAAATGGAAATGATCCAGTAACAGAAAATTTACATGAGAGAAAATGCCAGTAAACAAGCACATTAGAGATACACCTTCTAACAGAAAAATGTAAGTGAAAGAAATTCTGGACTTGCAATTTTGCATTTATGAAATTTAGGGAGAATGCTGGGAGAGAGGAGTGTAATTGTTATACTGATATATTATAGATGATATTTTAAATGGTATAATATCTTGGAAAAGAGTATGATAATATAAAACAGATAGTTATAAACATACTTATTCCATTTGTTCCTGTAGTTTCCCTTCTCAAGAAATTTCACAAAGAAGTGCTATATTTGCAAAGATGTTCATTGTAGCATCGGTCATAGTGGCAAAGCAAACTGGACGATAACCTATATGTTCAATGATAGAAGACGAGCATAGTAAATTATAATACACTGCATGCCGAGGTTTTATGCATCCATTAAAAATCATAATTATAAAAATTAGGCAGAAACAGAAAAGTGTTTATAATGTTAAGCCAACAAAGTATACCCTTTAGCACATATGTTAAATAGAATTATCATTCTAAACATATATATTTATAACATATACTAGAAGGTATTACCAAAAAATGGAAATAAAAGTATTACAGGGTTGACATCTGTTAATTCTACAAATATTTGTTAAATGCCTACATCATGCCAATAGCTTACATTACAACAGTAAATAAAAAAGCTATACTTCATGGCACTAATGGAAATTATCCAATTTTACCAAAATTTTATCTATTTTTTTCCAAAATTTTCAATAATGTTATAGCAACTTTTCATTTATAGGTTTAGCTATGAGTTAGGGGCAGTGATAAATTAAAATGCTTGTAATTGTATGCTTCTTGTTATTTTCATCTGCTTACCCTCAATACACATATTTTATAGAACATGAAATTAAGCAATTTTTGTTTTTATTTAGTAAAAAGCACAAATTGTTCATTCCTCTGTTTTCCTTTTATTCATTAATTTATTAATTGGCTTATTGCTTGATTGGGTTATTCTTTAAACAAGGAATTATTGAGTGCCTGTGTATTGGTGCTGTGATGGATGTGAGCAGTATCGAGTAGGACAGATGCCCTGTATCTGTTTTTTTACTCTGTTACGGGCTCATCACATTAAAGTTCTGTTATGGATCAGCTTGTTCCATTAAGATGTCATTTTAGATTTTTACCACAAATGTTATTTTCTCAATGGAAGAAGGATTTAGGTAATGAGCAGAAAGCATGCATTTGTGCATTTTTATACCTTTTTTTCCAAACTATGTTTTACAACTGTAGCTGGAAAAAGAAAAGAGAAACTGTCTTTTTCACATGTTTAAGAAATCAGACGTACTTTTGTATTAGTTACTTTGGGTGGCCTCCAAATTTCTTTTTCAATAAACTATTTCACACAGATACAGAGAATATTATTGACAAATAGGGAGGGTACTGTGAAGTCCTACTTAAATGTTAAGAAAGAATGAAATTGATCTTCCATGGAAAACTATACTCCTGTCTTTCCATTCTGAATGGTTTTTCCATTTGTGTGGGCAATGTCGACAAAACTAAGTGCCATGTGGGTTGGTGATTCTGTATTTTTCTACAGACCAATCTGGAGGATACTGTAGGTAACTATAGAGAATATTATGAAGTGATAGTTAAGCGATAAGTAAAGTTGATTTATGGAAAACTGTATTTTTGCCTTTGAGTTCTTAATTCCCTTCTCTCCTCACTTGTGCCTTTTGGGGTGATCCTGGCAGTACTGGCAAAATTAAAGTGGGCGGATTCTGGGATCTTCATTTCCATATGCTCTTTAATCATCCTAAAGTTGTTGCAGCTATAACAATAGTTAAAGGATGGCTGGTTTTTAAAAAATATTAGTGGTGGGAGCACTGATACTTAGAAATATACTGGGACACTCGGTTGGGTGTGTTCACAAACATTATGTAGTCTAGCTCTGCCAAGGTCCCCTCTCCTTACGGACTCTGATAAACTTATGGCTTTTATACGACATTCTAGGCCTTCACTAATATCTAGATATTAGATTGATTAAATCATTCAAAGATTCTTAAATATTATGTAGTCATTTATTTTTAAACATTGGGAAAGGCTTTAAAGAAATATACATCTGTCATTACCTTAACATTTTAAAATGTTAATAGCTTTTCATTATGAATCTTATTACTATGACAGTTTTGTTTGGCTCTTAAGTTATTTTCAATATAAGTCAGAAATAAGGAGTAGAATTAATTCAATCAACACATCATTCCTGAGTGCCTCTTAAAAGCATAGATACATATCAGAACAACAGAGATGCGTAAGAAGGGGTGCCTGTCCTCAAGGAACTTAAGGCCCATTTGAAAAGGTCACAAATAGTTTTGTCTAGTAAATCCTCAGTGTTCATATGATAAATGATCACTAAAATGTGTATATTTTTTACAATTTTTATTCTATATCAACAATTCATGGTAATTTCCTTAATCAGTTCAGCACAAACATAGACGTCTTATGTAGGAAGACTTGTTTTAGGACCATAAGCAAAATCAGCAGCCTGTAATAAGTGCTAAATCTAACCTTGGGCAATTAGAATATGTGACAAATTTAGAGTGACATATTTTTCTGAAAACCTAGAAGGTCTGTTATAGTCAATATGAGAGTGAATATGATCTATCTGCTGGAAGAGTTCTTTATAAATATTAAGTTAAAATTAATATGTTCAGATATTTACAATGCAGTCCTGAATTGAGCTGTTCGAAATATGGTTTTCGAGTATTTTCAGAGATAATGCTAATGAAAGTTATACTTTTTCCCTGTATTTTTTTGCTTCCACTTATTTCTGGCTTGGGGAAAAAGGAAAATAAGCATATGAAAGTAGTGTGTGGCTTATTTTTAATTCCCATAGCTTTCAAATAGAGGTGTTGATTTTTTCAGGTCCATTAGAACCTCAGGGTGGTGACATCATCTCTTTATAAAGAGTTTGCATAGTTAGAAGTCTCCCCTGGAGCAAGAAGAGATGGGGAAACACAAGGAAAAGTTATTAACTCTGCGGTAGGAGATCGAAGGAACTCATCTGGCTTGCATTTCAGGAAAGAGTTCATATTAAGACATGGACAGTAATATGGGATATATTCTGAGCTAATAGAACTGAAATCTGAGAGTTACTTTAACTGTTGGATATCATGGTTATACTAACACTGGCTAAAGAATAAGAGCTTTCTAACCTTGAAAGAATAAATATAATAAAACATGAGAATTCTCTTTTAACTAATAACCTGAGTTTTTAATTCACCAGATCTTCACCTGAGCTTCAAATTTGTGTAAAGATGGATTTGCTTTCCTTTTTGTCCAAAAGGTTTCCACTTCTTCTGTATAAAATCCTAATTCCTATTTAATCATCTCATGTCTGATCTTGAATAAGCACTAGAAGGAACAAACTAGAAGACATTAGAGAGAAAGGGATAAACACATGTAAAATAAGAAAGCAGCTCAGAAGATCTTTTTCAGTCTGCAGCAAAGACGAGTCTGACCCTCAGCATCACTAGATGTGAGCTGGGGTCAGAAAGATAGAATAGTGGTGGTGGAAGACGATGGATATCCAAGTGCCTTTGCTCTTTTGACGCTTCATGATCCTGTTCTCTAGACCTCCTTCTCTCTGCTTACTTGCTCTTTCTCTATTTCTCTACATCTGTCTTCAAGTGGGGCCTGGCAGTTGTTCCTGGCTGACACACCAAAGGCTTGGCTGCCGCTGAGTTTAGAGGCACTTTGAATCACTGGACGGTAGATAAAGGGTGGGGAGAGCATACAACTTAGGGGATTTTTTAATATCCATTTTGTGCCTTGTATATTAAAATTGTATTCTAATATATTGTACATCTGCTTTTCTTTGATCAGTTTTTACTATTCATCTGCTGCCAGCCCTCCGGTCTGGAACTGATTATTTAGGGAAAATTGGTGGAGCCATCTGGAAACATGAGCAACTTGAGTTTCTGTCTGATTTCTAATGCATGTTTTGATTGATGCTAATTATATGGTTTATTTCATTATTTATTGTTTCTGTTCATTGTTCGAAAAGAAAATCCTAATCCAAAATGAATTGTTTTCAAAGGCTTTGGACTTGGCTGCCCTTTCCACAGAGCACTCTCAGTACAAGGACTGGTGGTGGAAAGTGCAGATTGGAAAATGTTACTACAGGTAAAATTTTGAGTATTTGTGAAGGGCTTAGACATGGTGGCATATTTTAGAGTCTCAACCCTGATCATTACTTTTTTCTGGGTTGATTTCCTCTGGTAGAAATGAGAACTATGTCTTTGACTTAGGTGAGAAAGCATTTAAACATGGTAGCGCTAAGAACTGATACCTTTGGAATAATAAAATGGTAGTGCTGGGCAGGGGAAACTCTGAGACCATCAGATCCAACACCCCTTTTCAGGTGAGGAAATGAGGCCAGAGAGAGCCTTGGATTTGCATCAGGCACTACTTAGTGAAAGACTAGTTAGTAACGGACCTGTTGGATCTGAGTCTGTTGACTCCCATTCCTCTTCTCTTGCTCTCAAGTCTTTTTATGTCCCCTGATGCCTCCCATCCGTAAAGTGCTTCCCAGCTGAGAGCTTCTTTGTCCACACGTTACGTTAACTCACTTAAATCTCACAGCACCTGGAGGTAGTTGCTATTATCATTAGCTCTTTGTCCAGATGAGAAAAATTGAGCCTCAGAAAGATAAAGTGACTGGTCCAAAGTCACACGGCCTGTAAGTGGCAGAACAAGAATTTGAGCTCAGCTTTCTGATGCCAGTTCTCTTACTACTTGCACAATTCTAGTGTTTCTCTAGGATCTGAATATTCTTACATTAATTCATTTAATGTTTAAACACATTTTTTTTGGAGGTAGGGAGAGTGCACACACAAGCGGGGGTGGGGCAGAGGGTGAGACTCTTCAAGTAGATTTCCCGCTGAGCACGGAGCCCCACACAGGGCTCGATCCCATGACCCTGAGATCATGGCCTGAGCTGAAATCAAGAGTCAGATGCCTAACTGACTGAGCCACCCAGGCGCCCTTAAACACATTTTTAAGCAAATTAATTGAGAGGTCAGAAAAGTTGTAATTAATTTTATGAATATTATACAGCAACTAGTAAATGAGATCTAAAACGTGTTGCCTGGTATTGAAATGCATTTGGAGCATTTGAAAAATAGAGACAAATGGGCAATTGTATTTTATAAATATAAATACATCTTTTAGCATTCAAAACAAGGTAGACCAGTTACTGTGAGCATCCTTTAGTCCTTATGAACTTTACTTATCAAACACTGTGAGGAAAAGAAAATATATAAATGGAATGAAAAGGATGCTTATTCTTTTTTGGTTGAAATTAAGACTACTTTCCACTTAGATATTTTACATAGAACTTGAAGTGTTTTTTCTGCTGTTAGGCTGAGGAAGTATTTTCTACTAAAAGGTAATTTTATAGCATTATACCATTAAACGTTTATGAATATAATTTCTGAAGGCAAGCTTGAAATCTGAGCTTCTAAACAAATCTTAAGAAATCTTGAATAATTGAAGAAAAGCACAATTTGGATTCCTTCTGCCATCTGTAGAAGATGGCACTTAAATGAGTGTACCTTGCCATATTAATCACTGTTCTCCTCTGTCCCTTAATAGCCTCTCATCTTTAGTATGTGCTCAGCACTCCTGCATTCACTGACTCACTAAGCTATTTAACGAGCCAGGTACAGGGGTTACAAATATTTATTAGATAGTCCTTCCTTCAAATGGTTTACAGTCCAATGGGGGAGAGAGAACAGTAAACAATCATAAGCATGGCTCCCACTGTGATAGAAGCAAGTGCAGGAAGCTCAGAGAAAGAGCTCCTAACTTGGACTGGAGAGGTCAAGGATTGATTACCAGAAGATGGAGCCCTAATTGACTTGTGTCTCTTGCTCCTGACTGGTAAATCCTGCCAGTTCTTTGTCTACAGTAGCTCCCCTACCACCCCATTCCCACTCCAGGGCCTGAATTCTGACTTTCAGTTTTTTTGAATTGTTCCATTAGCTTCTTATCTGGGTTCTCTCCCCCCGCCAATCCTTCTTATATACTACCATCAGAATAACTGTTAGGAATAAAACAGCTCCTGGTGAATTCTTTGACTAATCTCTACTACCTCTAGGATAAAGTCTGCATTTTAAGTGTGGCATGTCTGATCTTGTCCCAGTCCATGCTTGCCCTCTCACTGCCTTCCCCCATTACTTATTGTGTCCTTCTTCCCAGTTAAACCAGACAACTCAGCATTCCCCTCCCATGCTGTGCACGCTGCCGTGTGTCTGTGCAGATAGTTTGCTTCCATCTGAGATGTCCCCCCACTCACCCCACCCTGTCTAGCTCTCAAAATCTTGCCTGTCACTTCCTCCCTGAAACTATCTTGGTTCACTCCTCCTCTGTGCTCTCAAAGCACTTTTTTTTTCTTATTAGCCATAATATGTTTCCATTTATTTGTGAACATGTTTTGTTCCATTCTTATTGGTGCCTTTAGGACTGTTTGTGATCTTCATTTTTGCATCATGAAATGTACATGTGTTGGTGCTTCACAATATTTACTGAATTAAATTGGAGAGAAAAAGTTGGCAGTCGGTGGGGTTATCTTGGGACTTTGACTCTCTGATATGGGCTTGTATTCATGAACTTGACTGATATTTTCCTTATTCCTAGACTTTCTTTATACGTGGCCCACTTAATTCCTTTGCAGAAGAACCCATGTGGTTATTCCTTTTTGATAGTATTAGAAGTTACCTCTTGAGGATGCAGTAATAAACAAATGTATGACCCACCCTTCCTTCCTTTGGTTTCCAGGGTAGCTAAATGGCTTTGCTTTTTTTTTTTTAATTTGTTTATCTTTCCATCACCATTGTTTAAAAAAATCTATTTCTGTTTTCATATTATTGTTTTATATGTATCTTATAGGATTATATTGTAATCCCTTTTAAATGATTTTTGGGAAGAGACATCATAGTAGATAAAAATATACAGACTCTCATGGATAATTAAGTGTGGCTGAACTTTAGCCACATGCTTAAGATTTGAATGCTCAGTTGAAGCTTTGTATAGAACCTATGCTGTTTTTCAGAACTTGAGAGTTCTTTGATAACATTTTGTGAATACTCCTGGTAAAAGTTGTGGGAGCTTTGAAGAGGGGGGGCCTCTGCCATTTCACACATTCTAACTTTAGGGTAGTTTTGGGGGGGGTCCCTTTTAACCCCATTAATCCTACATCTCCCTACAGCTGCTTGCTGTAGCCACACCAGTGCTTGAGGCTTAGACAACCAGGTAGAAGGTGAGTTCTTCTGTCAAGCCTCCGAATGAAAGTAGCACAGTGGAACATCCTGTGAAACACTCATTTCACAAAATGAAAGCATCATCAAGTGCCTAAGCAGCTCTTAGCTGGCTAGGGATGAGTAGTTAGGAGAAAACCCGACAGATCTAGAACAGGCTGAAGTGTGCTTTAATGACTGACTGAGCTTTAATGCTCTAATGATTGATTCAGTAGTAATAAAATGGTCCCTGGGCAGAAGAAATGGGGCTGGTATCAGGACAGTTGTAGTTAGGCAAGGAACAACTCTCAAATCTGTAGACTAGGACAGTCTGTATCAGATACGAAGATAAAAAAGGAAAATGTTTCTAGAATCATAAAATGGTAAAACTATATCACTCAAGAAGCAATTACTACTTACATCAAAACTTTAAAAAGGGCTTTAAAAATGGGCCTTTGTTGGGGTGCCTGGGTGGCTCAGTCGTTAAGCATCTGCCTTCGGCTCAGGTCATGATCCCAGGGTCCTGGGATCGAGTCCCACATCAGGCCCCCTGCTCTGTGGGAAGCCTGGTTCTCCCTCTCCCACTCCCCCTGCTTGTGTTCCCTCTCTCGCTGTCTCTCTTCTCTCTCTGTCAAATAAGTAAATAAAATGTTTAAAAAAAAAATGGGCCTTTGTCTCAGAGTAGATGATGTTTTCAAAGAAATGCCATCCCTAATTTCTTCCAATAAAATGGAGACCCAGAGAGTCTGCTCAGGTCACCTGCCGTATGTCCAGCTGATTATAAGCCCTTTGGGTGGTAAACTGATGCGCCCTGGCTCGATGGCAGCTCTGTTAGTCCTGCTGTGTCCAGGCTGCAGATAGACTTGTGACACACCATTGGAGGGTTACATGGACAGTGAATATGGGGAATAGGCAACTTTGTGCTCAACTAGATCAACATGATGCTGATAATAATTTCTATGTGTATATAACATTAGCTTCTTTAGTACATGCTTACTCTTAGAGATAGAAATGTGATTTGTCTCTATTCATATCCTCAGTGTGTGAATAAGTGCTGTAGTATTTATTTTTAAGTTGAATGTCTCATTTTTAAAATGGCTGTTCTTAGGTTAGGAATGTATCGTGAAGCAGAAAAACAGTTTAAATCAGCCCTGAAGCAGCAGGAAATGGTAGATACATTTCTCTACTTGGCAAAAGTAAGTAAGTATTCTTAACTAGAGTGAAATCTGTCTTCTCAAAATAAATGTTCAAATTCTGGCCAATATATACAGAGAGTTGCCAGTTTCTTCAGGAATAGTTGGCAAGTTAATGTGCTCAGACTTATTTTTCTTTATAGCAAGTGGAAAAGTGAGAACATATGGAGGGTAACTGTCTCAGGAGAAATTGATTGCCATGAAAAAGAAGAAAACCCCTTTGAAAGATTGCCCATTAGAGCAGAAGAAACTGCCACAGGCTTATTACCACTCCCGTGTTAACGGGCCCCAGAGAGGTCTTCTTTTCTACAGCATGCCTGTCTCCCACCTAAGCAGACTGCAGAGAACCGGAATTGTTTTTACGTAGGTCCTTGGCTTCTTGGCTCTGCCATAATAACAAAGACAATATTTTCCCTTGATTGAACACCTATTCAGGAGAAGGTAGTATATCTGGTCTGTTCCACCCACAGGTGAATTTAAGCCTCATGAAGCCACCCCGCAAGGGAGATTTGTTACATTTCCTTTGTACTCTTAGGACAGTGGGGACTTAAAGAGGCTAAGTAGGATTTTCAGGGTCACTTGGCTGTTCAGAGCCAGCACTCCAACACAGGTCTTCCTCCTCACTGTCCCATACTGGTCCCCACAACCACAGTGGAAGTGAAGGGCCACCAGAATTTTCAGTCCTGGGAAAAAGTTACTTCTTGGCCCTCGCCAGGGCTACTCGAAACAACTGACGAAGTGTTGGTTAGGACATCATCTTGCTGTATCTTGACTAATTTTTTAAAATTAAAAAGTGTGCGAAAGGGGGTTGAAGAGCTATAAAAGGAAATGCCACTACTTCCTAAATATGGCTTTAAGATTTGCACACTAAAAAGAAACAAAATGAAAGTTACACACTATAAACTTATGGTGCTAAATAATCTTGATCTGTTTACCATAGTTTTCCATCTTCTGTACATTATATATAAAACCTAAAATTCTTAAAGAAGTTTCTAAGCATCACAGTAGACTTTTAAACTTTTCAGATACCTTGAAATTAAAACTCAGGTCACACTATTTGACTCATCTTCTTAACTGATGATCGCCAGGTGTTTTAAAAAAATGTGCTTTTTAACTATTTCATTGAATACATGGTTTGACATATTTTTCCATAAATTGATTTGCTTAAATCTATTACTGCCTACATGACTGTCTCAAAGTAAAATTTATTTATTTTCTTTAATATATGAAAGAATAATTGCTATGAAATAGAGATCAATCTGATTGAGGAATATTATTTCTGAAAATATTGGATTAATTTTTTTAAAAAATTATTAAATGTTTATGTTACTTGGTATATTTTGTTGTATTTAAAAAAGCAGTTCAATGGTGTATAAAGTAAAAGTTGAAATATTTTCATCCATACCTCTCCCTTTAATCTCATACTTCAGCATTAAACACTATAAACAGTTTTTCTGTGGATCCATTTGGGCCTTCTTCAAAGCACAGTCTATTTGAAAAGAAATAGAGGATCCAAGATCATGAAGAAAAAAATGTCATAATCTTGTATTTCCATGCCTAAAACTATAATTCCCTATTTTAGAAATTCCATGAAGTATACAATTTATTTATGCTAATGTTCTAATTGCTAATTAAGTGGAAGTCATCAAGTGCTAACTTTCCCAACTCCCTGACCCCATTCCTCACAAATCTGTTCCTCCTCTATTTCCGAAGGCCCTTTTCCAAAACCAGCTTCTCCACGGGCTCTCCACTGCTGCTCTTTCTCAGACCTTCTTGTTCGTTGGTCCTCCGCTCTTTCTCCTGCGTCTCCAACTTCGATCTCCTAATTGGTTCCTTTGTGCCCACTTATAGACATACTCCCGTCTGCTCTATCCTAAACAGATTTTCCCTCATTCCTTTCTTATTGAGTTACTGCTCAGTCTCTAAGGCGATAGCAAGCCTACAATGAGCGTTTGTTGAAGGAATAAATGAGTGGATGCTTCATATATGACATGTGACGATAAAACTAACATCACTATTGAAAATTAATCCACGTTTCTGAAAACTTTTTACTTGTATCTAGGAGATAATCTGTTACTAAGCAATAATTATAAACTTGTCATAACAAATACTGTTATTTTAAGAACCAGTACTTTCATTGAAATGTCTCTTGGTTTTAGGTTTATATCTCATTGGATCAACCAGTGACAGCTTTAAATCTTTTCAAACAAGGCTTAGATAAGTTTCCAGGAGAAGTAACCCTACTTTGTGGAATTGCCAGGATCTATGAGGTAAGACTTATATTATACAAAAAGTTGATGTGAAATTGACGTTATATGCAACTTAAGTAAGCTCATAGGCCCTTGGATCCTAGCAAGGAGAACAGTTTGTAAGATTATGATTACTGGCCTGTGGTTTACTAACAGAGTAAGAGATTTTAGTGTATGCATTTAGTCAAACTAAGTTTTTATTATGATGCATTTCAAACATACAGAAGAGTAAGGAGCGTGGTATGAGATAGGGATTTAAACGAGTTTCCCACTATAGATAGCTATTTGTCGAGGGGCACCTGAGTGGCTCAGTCAGTTGAGCATCTGCCTTCAGCTTGGGTCATGATCCCGGGATCCTGGGATCGAGCCCCGCATCAGGCTCCCTGCTTAGTGGGGAGTCTGCTTCTCTGTCTCCCCAACCCCACCCCCTGCTTGTGCTCTATCTCTCTCTCAAATAAATAAAATCTTAAAAAAAAAAAAAGATAGCTATTTGTCCAGCACATCTATTGATCCTTCTTCCAAGGTCTGTAATGTCAAATATCAACTTTTTTTTTTTTTCTATATATGGTCAATATGTTTTGGGGGCTTTCTATTCTTTTGGTCTGTTTGTCTATCCTTGTACCAGTATTATACCATCTTAATTACTACAGCCTCGCATACTACTTGGTATGGTTCTTTATCAGGAATGTTTTGTCTATTTTGGACTTTTACTTATTCTTACAAATTTTAGAATCATGTTGTCAAATTCCATGGAAAGCCCCATTGAGGTACCCTTCCCACTGCCTAATTATTATAGCTTTACAGTAAATCCTGATCTCAAGTTGGACAAATTCTACCACCTACTCTTCTTCACAGCTAGTTATTTTTAGCCCTTTGCTCTTCCATATTGATTTTAGGATTGACTTATCACGAACCATTAAAAATCAAAACAATTCCTACAGGCATATTGATTGGAATTGCATTGATAATATGAATGATGGGGGTGGGTGGACTGCCTTTCTTCTCACTCTCCATCATGGCAAAATTCTCATTTAGGTCTTCTTCAGTGAATATAATTATCTCCATGAAGATGTTATATTGGGGGTCCCCAAAACCAACCTGAGTTTCAGTGATTTATTAGAAGGACTCAGGACTCAGCATTCAGTCATACTCATGGTTAAGATTTATACTAAAAGGCTATAAAGCAAACTCAGTAAAGGGAAAAGGTACATGCATCAAAGTTCAGAGGAAATCAGGCACACAAGCTTCTAGGAGTTGTCCCCTAGTGAAATCACACAGGATACACTTTATTCTTTCTTCCAACAAGTTGTGACAACATGTGTGAAGCACTGTCTATCAGGGAAGCTCGTGAAAGACTTGGTACTCAAGGTGATTCCTAGGGGTTGGTCATATGGGCACCTTCTGCCTACCATGTACCAAAATCCCAGACTCCAAGACATAAAGCAGGTATTCATGCACCATATCAGCTTTTTGCACCACACCGTTTGTACAAAAAGTTTAGGTGTGTGAGCCCCTATCATCATTTGAGGGAAGTTTGGTTTTTTATTAATATATAACATATTACTTGTTTCAGGGGTACAGGTCTGTGATTCATCAGTCTTACACAATTCACTGCCCTCACCATAGCACATACCCTCCCCAATGTCTATCACCCAGCCACCTCCCATGCCTCCCACCCCCCCCCACCACTCCAGCAGGAAGTTTTATATGAATATAGGGAACCCACCAATTTCTCAGATGCCAGCCAGGGACCAACCTTACAAGCAGGCCTTTCTAAGAATAGCAGTTTCCGGTCTGTTACACTCTTTCCTGCAGAGATCCATCCCTAGGTATAACTGTGGATGGAATCCTTTTTTTCTATTGTAATTTTCTATTTGACTATTTCTGGTAAATAGGAATACACTAATTTTTTAAAGTTCATTTGATACTAGAAAACAGGCCTAATACTGGGGTGCCTGGGTGGCTCAGTTAGTTAAGCATCTGCCTTTGGCTCAGGTCATGATCCCAGGGTCCCAGGATCAAACCCCACATTGGGTTCCCTGCTCAGTGGGGAGTCTGCTTTTCATGTCCCTCTGCCCTTCTCCCCTGCTCATGCTCTCAAATAAATTTTAAAAATCTTAAAAAAAAATAAAATAGGCCTAATACTCAAATTTTTAAGTTTTAATACCTTATCCTTAATTTCTCTTAAGATTTTCTAAGTAAATAAAATAGTCATTATCTGCAAACATAGTTTTATCTCTTCATCTCAATTATTTTGCCACTTAATAAAAAAACTTATTGTTTAGGACTTCCAGTACAGTACTGACAAGAAGCATCTCTGTTCTCTTTAAATTCCTTGAAGTTCTAGGTATAATATTTTAAAATTATTTTGTTAGGAAAATAGTGGAAGGTATTAATAGTTGCTATATCTGGGTAATAGTATATGATTGACTTTTATTTTCTTTTTCATACTTTCTATATTTTCCAGATTTTCTGTCATGAACTTGCATTCCTTTTAAAATGAAAAATTTTATTTTTAAATTGTCTAGAAATACGGTTTCCTCTTGAAATATAATTCTGATAAACACAGAAGTAGAAGGCTTTGATCATTCAATAAAAATAAAATACTGTATTTGTATCTCTGTATCTGTCCTTGTGTGACCTTAAATTGAACATGAACAAAATTTTGACCAAGAAGCTTTTTTTTTTTTTAAAGATTTATTTATTTATTTGACAGATAGCACAAGCAGGCAGAGTGGCAGGCAGAGGGAGAGGGAGAAGCAGGCTCCCCACTGAGCAGGGAGCCGGACGTGGGGCTCGATTCCAGGACCCTAGGATCATGACCCAAGCCGAAGGCAGCCACTTAACCAACTGAGCCACCCAGGCGCCCCTTGACCAAGAAGCTTAAGAAATAGAACTGTGGTATTCATACAGAGCAGTGCCTGTCTCAATAGGATCAGAGCTCTCTGACCTTTAAGCTCCTCCACCTTCTACCCATTTCAGTGCTTCTGCTCTTCTTCTCAGGCAGGAAGCACTGGCAGAAAGAGCTAGACATCTGTGGAATCTTTGATGGTTGCTGGTTGGAAGAATTCCTGCCAACCTTCTGTTAGAGTCACTCTGGCTGAGACAGGGAGTAGACCCTTAACCAGCTCCCTTCACTGTTCCGTGCTCAGGGTCTCACCAGGACTTGAAGGACCATATCCTTTTAGAAGTCTACAGGGGAAGGTTTGGGGAGAAAAGTAGAATTGGAGTTGGCTCTCAAAGTGGAGAAGACAGCATCCAAGTTGTGGGGACAATTTATCATCCAGATAAAGCATGATCAAGGACTAAGCGCAAATTTAAAGTAGTGAGATGCAGTATTTCCCCATGAACCTAACCGCTGATTTCCCTTGTGCCAAAGTTTACCATACCGGAAGACAGGTTTCTAGTGTATTCTTGTTCTTTTTATGTGACAGTAAATTTGGAGTTCCTTGGTAAAGTTTGTCCCTTAGCATTGCAGCCTACACCACATACGCCTTGGGGGTTTTCGTATGCCCATCAGACTTCCCTGGAGGGTCCTCTTCCTTTGTGTTCTTCTTTTTTATCACATTCATTTGGTCTTGCATCTTTTCAGTGTTTTCCTGTTTTATTTATTTATTTATTTTTTTAGATTTTATTTATTTATTTGAGAGAGAGAGAGAGAGAGAGAGAGAGAATGAGAGAGAGCATGAGAGGGAAGAGGGTCAGAGGGAGAAGCAGACTCCCCGCTGAGCAGGGAGCCCGATGCGGGACTCGATCCCGGGACCCCAGGATCATGACCCGGGCCGAAGGCAGTCGCTTAACCAACTGAGCCACCCAGGCGCCCCAGTGTTTTCCTGTTTTAAAATGCACATGTCGTGCTGCCTAGTGTTCATTGCTTATTGTTTAAAATGATTTATTCTTGCTAAATTTGGTTGTGGTCTTAATTGTTCTTGAGGAATTCTGTTTATCCATTCAAAAGGCAGGTCTCTGAACTGTTCTTTGTTGAAGATATTTGAAATTAGAAATGTTACCCTAGAAGAGATTATTCTAGTGATCCTTGACGTTTACTGTGTGTTCAAATAACTTCAGGAGTGGTTGAGAAGGGTGGCCTATCCTCTGCCTACTGAATCAGATATCCTGGAAGGCAGGACTCCGGCAATTATTTGTTTGTTTGAGCTCACTAGGCATTTCTGACATATAACAGAGTTTGAGAACCACTGCAACATTCACCTCAAGTTATTTGCAATTTCATTTTAAATAACTTATAAAGTATTTTGTGAATTTGTTCCAAAATAACCACTATCAGCATCACTTAAATGATACCATAGTTGTTTATATACTTGAGGTGACATTTATATATTTGAAAATATTTTTTAAATCTACATTAACAAAATTTATTCTAGAGTTACTATAATTTAAACAATTCTGATGCAGGAATAGATTAAAGGAGCAAAATAGAGTCTGTGTATGTTCATATGACAATTTACAATGTTCTAAAGACTGCCTATTTAACCAATTGGATTATTAGATTATTTAAAAAAAAATAGAGCTGGAGGAATAATGGTTTCTTATACTAAAAGAGTCTATCTTACCGCCAGATGACTCACAGATTTAAAACCATGAAAGTTCCAGAAAAACACAGATGAATTATTTGTATAAACTTGGAATAGGAAGACCTTTCTAAGTGTGATAGAAAGTCGAAAGCCATAATAGAAAAGACTGAATTTGAGAAGATAAAAGTTAAATTTTCTATAGAGTTAAGTAAGTGTTCTATAAAGTTAAATTTTCTATAAAAACAAATAGAAATAAAACCAAAACAAACAGTATAAAAATATCCAACAGGGAAAATATTTGCCATACCTGAGACAGACAAAAGATTACTTTTAATTTCCTCAATCTATACATTGCTTAAAAGTTGCTGAATTTCAGGTGGTTTCCAGGTTGGTGGGAGAATTACACACACACACACACACACACACACACACACACACACACACACGTGCATGAACACAAACTTACAGGTTCTCATTTAGTCAAGATTGTAAACACTTATGGAAACAAGGTGTTTCTTCAGAGCAGTTGTGGGTTGAAATCATAGTGTGGCTTTTGCATTAGCCCTTGTTTTCCTACTGGCCTGCATTGTGGCTGCTGATCCTCTTCATGCAAGTAAAATCACCCCAGAGATGAGACAACAGCCAATTCCAGCTACACCATGGCTACACCACTGCCTTTCATACTGGGGCTTGGTAAGACCCATCTGGAAGACCTTAAACCATCTATACTTTTCCTCTGAAGGAAATGTTTATAAACGCCAGGACTTCCGGGATTTGGAACTTAAGTCACATCAGCAGACTTGTTTAATCTGGAAGGAGAAAACAGAGTCAGTGCCCAGTCTCTGAGGCACATGTCTGCCCCCAGCTCTCCTGTATCCAGGAGGGCAGTTTCCAACCCAAGCCCCCATAACACAAGCCAATAGTAAAAGAACAAAAGATAGGATAGAAAAATGGGCAAAGGACATGAATCGGCAGTTCACAGAAAAGGAAATATAAATAGGTGTGTATTAAATGCCTAACCTCAGTCATAATTGAAGAAATAAAAACTAAAATAAGGAGATGCCTTTTTTGACTGAATCAGGTTGACAGAGATGGAGAAGTTCCAGGACATGTAGGGTTGTCAAGGTTGTGAGGAACACACCCCACATATGAACACTGATGCTGGGAGTGTATGTTGGCACAACCCATTTGGAGGCTGTTTGTGATTACTGATGAGATTTCCAAGCATGCATACTCTTTGGCCCAGCAATTTCACTTGTAGGAATTTTCCTTAAGGATGCTTTCATACAAGTTCAGAAAATATGTACAAGGATGATTTTATAGTATTTTTTTATAGCAAAAACAAAGAAACAAATGAATGCTTCATCAAAAGGGGGCTGGTTAAATAAACTATGGTCTATGTATTGATGGAAAACTATGCAGAAATAAAAAAGTAACGGGGTGGAACCCTTTGTGCTGATATGGAAAGAGTCAAGACAGTGAGAGTAGAAACAATGAACCATGTATCAGAATGTGTAGAATGATTATGTTATGGTAAAAACTTGCATACATGTTTGTCTACACATATATGAACAAAGTTTCTTGAAAATTACTCAAACCATTCACAGAACCTCTGACTGGATTTGGAGAGGGGACTATTACTTTTCATTTTATAACCTTTTTCAGTGTTTAAATTTATTTAGCATAAGCACATATTTTACAATAACACGTTTAAAAAACTACATATGGGGTTGCCAAAAACACAAATTAGTTTCAGTCTAAAATTCCTTAAGATTACATAAATTAATTATGTACCCATCAATCAAGTATACAGACATTCCAAGGTAATTTTATAGAACTGAAAGCCTTGAAACAATTATCCATTCAGGCTGGAGTCTTTTTGCATTGGGCTGAATCATGTTCCTCCCAAATTAATATGTTGAAGCCCTAACCCCCAGTGTGATGGTATTTAGAGATGAGGCCTTTTGAGATAATTACGTTTAGATGCCGTCCTGAAGGTGGGGCCCTCATGGTGGGATTCATGCCCTTAAGAGAAGAGACATCAGAGTGTGCTGGTGCTCGCTCTGCCTTTTGAGGACACGATGAGAAGGTGACCCTTTGTAAGCCTGTAAGAGAGTCCTCACAAGATCCCCACCATGCTGGCACCTTGATCTTGGACTTACGGCCTCCAAAACTATAGGAAAATAAAAAGTTTTGTTGTTTAAGCTACAGTCTTTGGTATTTTGGTATAGGAGCTCGAGCAAACTAAGACACCAACTTTGACAACAGTAATACTGAAGCCTTGCACTATGGGATGTTGTTGCCCTGTAAACCAGAAAATTCATGTTCATGGAGACCCAGGCTGCTCAGGGCCATTAGATTCAGTGGTCAGGTTGCTGCCTAGGTGTGGAGATTATTCTTTGGAAGGACAATATCTTAGTTTTCTCAGGCTGCTGTAACAAAATACCATAAACTGGGAGGCTTAAAGGACATAAAATTTATTTCGATAATTCTGGGGGCTGGGAAGTCTAAGATCAAGGTGCTGGCCAGTTCATTTCTGAGTGAGGGCCCTTTTCCTGGTCTGTAGACAGACACCTTCTATCTATACCCTTATATGGTAGAGAGAGAGATCATCTCTCTGGTCTCTCCCTTTTTTTTTTTTTTTTTAAGATTTTTTTTTTTTTGGGGGGGGGGGAGAGAGCGAGCGAGAACAAGCAGGGGGAGGGGCCGAGGGAGAAGCAGGCTTCCACCTCAGCGGGGGCTCGATCCCAGGACCCTGGGATCATGACCTGAGTGGAAGGCAAACACTTAACCAACTGAGCCACCCAGGCGCCCCTCTCCTTGCCTTTCTTCATATCAGTTATACTTGCCTGACATTATATTACCTATTTATTCATTCGCTTGTCTTCCTTACCAGCTGTACCCTCCTTGCGGATAGCAGCTTTGTCTTTTTGTTCGTATTGTGTCCTCAGGGCCTAGAACACAGTCTGGCACATGGTAGGCTCTCAATATTTGTTGAATGAATGAACATAAATCAGCCAGAAGAAAAATAATTTCCTGGCACTGAAGTACTGCTCTTCTGTCTTGTTGGAGAATAGGAAATGAACAATATTTCATCAGCAGCGGAATACTACAGAGAAGTTTTGAAACAGGACAATACTCATGTGGAAGCCATTGCGTGCATTGGAAGCAACCACTTTTATTCTGATCAACCAGAAATAGCTCTTCGGTTTTACAGGTGTGCTTTACACTCTCTGCGTAGAACTTTCCTGTGAAATATCAGTGCAGCAGCAATAATGATGGTGTGAAAATGTAGACACATAATATATAGGCCATGTCTACAGGAGACTAAACATTCCAGCACCCAGAGGTTTTATGAGCATTCAAGTGACATCTAAGAATTTGAAAATGTGCAGATATTTGGCATCTTGCAGGAACATACCTGGATAATTGAGTTTTTAACACCACGTCATTGTATGAGTTAGCCATTTTCTTGTCAATGAGTAACTGTTTAATAGTTCCTGGAAACAGTTCTCCCCATCACTGCTTTCCTTAATACCACCACATGGCCTATGAAGACCCCGAAGCTGAAACAGTGATGAGATTTGCAAAGAGCAGTGGGTCCCAGGTTCCAAGCCCTGACAAGGACCTGAAACAGGTTCCCCTGTTCTGTGAAGTATTGTCAACTCTTGTCCAAATAAGTGTTCAAAGCCTAAATAAGTTCTGCTCTCTGGTTCTCTTTTGAGCACATTCTTATTTCATCCTACAGATGGCTTCTGAGATTAATTTTTAAATTCTGATTTCCTCTTCTGCCCTCAGGTAATATACAAGGAGATAACTGGCTGCTGATGAGAGTTCTTTCCAAATACATGTCGGCAGCATAAAATATGATAAAATGAGTGTTGTGTTAGGCACAGGCAGTTGCCTCTACTCTCCCACCCTGAAAATGGGTCATGGGTTCCTCAGGGCTGCTGAAGTGGATTTTCATTTGCTTATGTGAATAGTCTTGTCCTTTGGGATTAATGATGCATAGAAACAGATGGGTTTGTTGAGCTCTAGCATGAGAGCTGAGTGGATAAGGTAGGGATCGCACTGATGGTCTTGTCTTCCTTGCTGGAAGCTCACTGGAAGGTCAGTAGACACACCTAAACCACAAAATACTACAGATAACCAAAACCAAGATTCAGTTTAGCTGAGAACTTGAAGGTAAATCCTAAACACAGCCCTCAAATTAGATTAGAAGGTCTCAGGGGTTTACTGCTTGACACCAAACCTTTATGAAGCAAAATGTTGTGGGTTTTACTTTATGTGACTCTTTTGTAGCTTGGTTTTCTCTAGCAGAATTTTTTTGGGGAAAAGAACTTATGCAAGTTGATTCTGACCTTGCCTCTGGACACATTACCCATGACTAGTACCCTTAAAAAAGACATGCTTTTGTGTTTGCTTTGACATTTTTTTCCATTTCCTGTAATACCTTCTATTCTTTGGGGATGTTAAAAATTATAAAATATTTCTAACTTTATAAAAAAAAATAGGTCTTAATATTTATCAGGTTGGTCTGACACCAAAATATGTGTTCTCCTTTTCAAAAAGGCGACTCCTGCAGATGGGTGTTTATAACTGTCAGCTCTTTAACAATCTGGGGCTCTGCTGCTTCTATGCCCAGCAGTATGATATGACTCTGACCTCGTTCGAACGTGCCCTTGCTCTGGCTGAAAACGAAGAAGAGGCAGCCGATATCTGGTACAACCTGGGCCACGTAGCTGTGGTGAGTTGTTCCTCTCATGTAATTTCTGGTATAGAAAAGGTAGCCGCAAGTTAGTTTGAAGGAATATTCGGGTATCGTAAATCCAGGTTTGGTTGGTTATGGTCTTCTGTAGCGATTGAGCGATTTCTGAGAGTCACCCTAGAACGTATTTTCTCAGGTTAACTCCTCGTATATACAATTCACACTTGATTATGATCAGTACTTGTTGCTTGGTAGCAGAAAAGACATACTCGAGGAAAGAAGGGAGGAGATGGTGGGCGGAAGCATATGGATCTGTGTGTGCGAATACATGCTTTTCTGTTCAAGGGCATAGGGGATATGAACTTGGCCCATCAGTGCTTCAGGCTCACTCTGGTCAACAACAATCACCACGCCGAGGCCTACAACAACCTGGCTGTGCTGGAGATGCGGAAGGGCCATGTCGAGCAGGTCAGTGAACTACTGTGGCACAGTGGACAATCTGCTTTCTTCAAAGAGGGGCTGTCAGGTGTAGCTGTCTTTACATGCTGCAGTTTATTTATTTTTTAAAAGATTTCTTTTGAGAGAGAGAGAACACGAGTGGGAGGGGCAGAGGGAGAGAGAGAGAGAATCCCAAGCAGACTCCCTGCTGAGCACAGAGCCTGGGCTTGATCCCAGGACCCTGAGATCAGGACCTGAGCCAAAATCAAGAGTCGGTCACTTAACCCACTGAGCCACCCAGGCCCCCCTACATGCTGCAGTTGAAAAATGAGCTCTGATTGGCTGGATTTGAATCCCAGTTTTGGCACATATTAGTGATGTGACATTGGACAAGTTACTTAACCTTTCTGTTTTCTCTTACCCTTTGGTTTTATCAGGACAGATCTGTACCTCCCTCGTCTTCCCTGCCTTAGTGAACTGTTGCACCATTCCCAGTCCCCCATCCACCAGCTGGGTGCTCCAGCCAAAGTCCTAGGAGCCCCGCTTGAAACCTCTCTGTCCCAGCTGCCTCGCGCAGCCACCCCACACCCCATCGCGTTTGGCAGGCCCTGCCAAGTTCTACCTCCAAGCCCCATCCCGGACCTGGATGCTTTACCCCACCTCTGCCACCCTTCTCCAGACCCTACTCCTCTCGCCTGGACCCTATGACAGCGGTCTCCTCGCTGGTCTTTTTGTCTCCACTTACATCAGCAAGTAATTGTACCCTATAACACGTCCTCCTCACAACAGCGGAAGGGATTTTTTTAAAAAAACAAGAATGATTTATCACTGCTTTGCTCAGCATCCTCCCAAGTCTTTCCTTTTCATTTGGAATGAAATGTGGATTCAAATCTTGGCCTACAGGGTCCCATATAATCCGGCCTCTAGCTCCTCCTCAGACCACATCTTTCATCACTTCTCCCTTCACACCGACTTCCGGACACATCAGCTGCCTCCCTGCTCTGCAAATATGCTGTGCCCATTCTTCCTTTACAGTCTTTGGAATGTTCCTCTTTCAGATCCTGCAGTGACTTTTCTTTTTGTCAGCCGGGTCTTAGCTTAATCACCACCTCCTTAGAAAGGTCATCTGAAACATCAGTCTAAAGGAGCCCTCAGGCACTATCACATCTCCGAGTATATTTTTTCTTCACCATACTTATTTTATCAGATATGTTCATATTTATATGTAGAATGGAGCATGGCAGCCACGTGAAAATAGGGATCTTCTTTGTCTTCCAACTGCTGTATTTTCAGCATCAAAAACTGCCTGGCATGTGATGGGTGGTGGGTCCATATTTGTGAAGTGAATGGACAGCATATAAAGTGAGGTAACAGCAGTACCTGAAAGTGTTCTGTGAGGATAAGCAGATTATGCATGGAAAGCATTGGACATGGTAGCCTAGGACTGAGCACACAGTAGATGCTTAATAAATTATCATTAATAAATTATATTATATATTTATAATAAATTCTATTATTAAAAAGTTTAAAACACTAAATATACTCCTATAATATTAGTGACAATCGAGAATAGGTAAGTGCTACATTACAGACTTTAAAGATGAAGAAACAGGGACTCAAGGAAGGTAAGTAACTTTACCTGCAGAAGTTACCTTCTCACTTTATTAAAAATAGGTCTTAATATTAATCAGGTTGGTCTGATAAATATTAAGGGATATATATAGTGTTAACTATAACACTAAATATAGTGTTAACCTCCCGCCTGGTCTCCTAAGCACCGTGATGAACTTGTAACACAACGAGAAAAGAAACATCCTTGGATGTTGCCTTTATTTCATAAATTCCCCCAAAAGAGCTGGGTTTGTATTTTGTCAACAAAAACTAACTACAGAGGACTCTTGACCAACACAGGATTAGGGGTGCTGACCCCCCGTGTGGTTGAAAATTCAAGTATTACTTTTGAACCCCCCAAACTTAACTACTAAGAACCCACTGTTGACTAGAAGCCTTACCAAGAATGTACACAATTAACACATTTTATGTCATACGTACTGTATACTGTATTCTACAGTAAAATAAGCTAGAGAAAATAAGATGTGATTAAGAAATTCATAAAGAGAAAATACATTTATAGTACCGTATTTATTGAAAAAATCCACACCTAAGTGGACCCATGCCGTTCAAACCTGTGTTGTTGAGTAACTACTCTAAAATGGGAACTTGTTCTGTGATGGAACTTTACCTGTGTCCATATGAAACAAGTGCGTTGTGATCTTCTCTGTTCCCATGTTGGTGTTTTTGTTTCCTACTTGTTACAGTTTCTCTACTAAACTGATTTGAAAGGTTCTGGTGAAAGTTTTCATGCTACTAACCTCTGTTTTATTACTAAAAATTATACCTCGATTAAAAGAAAAATAGCTAATCATAAAACAGAAATCAGTATCTACCATCCCATTGGTTATTTTCCATAAAAAAAAAATACACACATTTGTCCACAGGTCATGGGTGGAGGTTTTGGATTTAGTTACAAATTGGAGGGATGGTCAGCAGCTTGGAATGGTGAGTCTGTGGTCCTAAGGATCCTTTGAGCCTATAGGGAACGCCAATTTTGTTTTTTGAGTACTTGAGAGAACAGAAGGCTTGTCCTTTTCAGTTGCACTCACTTGTTATTTTGAGGTCAGCATTGTTAATAAATGCTCATCACGGTGTTCTTGCACAGAACTTGGAGCTTGGAAATTTACTATTTTTTTTTTATTGTTTTTGTTGTAGCATTAGAGAACAGGTAATTCGAAGCCTAAGAAACCAATCAACAGCAATAAAAATTAGGTTAATAAGCCTTTTTTTTTTTAGCATTGAGAGGATTATATTTTGATTTGTCATATTGCAATACAAACTTTACAAGAAACGTGGTTCTCGACTTTAAATCTACTCTTAAGTTTCTTTATATTCTGAAGCAGTTTTATCATTAATTTTGGGAAGATGTAAATATTAATTGTATTTCAGTAAGTCATATTTCACAAATACAGAATGTCATCTGTATTTATCACAGGATCATGTTTATTAAGGTCCTATATCTTGGGTAAAGGATTCTTTTACCAAAAAAAAAAAAATCACAAATATCATGCTGATAGATGCTCATATACCTTTGGTTTTCTCCCCCCCCCTTTTTTTTTAAATACAGGCAAGAGCACTGCTACAAACCGCATCATCTTTAGCACCCCATATGTATGAGCCACATTTTAATTTTGCAACGGTCTCTGATAAGGTATTCTCTTTATCAATTCATCATGCGATCTGTTTCTTTTTCTTTCCTGGTTTTAAAAAAAAAGTACAGCTAAATAAGGAAAGATAAATAAGGAAATTCTAATAATGTTTTGAAAGAAGTGGTTTTTTAAATATTGTATCCATCTGTCCTTCACTTCAGGGGACAGTTTAAGAAACCTTAAAGAAATTTATCACTGAATATGGACTAAATATTACAGATTGCATTACAGATTATTATCAATTGCAGAATTATTTTATTTTTAAAATAGGACATTTAGTCATGAAAAAAGTACTCATTAAGTAACTCCTGGTTGAGGAAGGATTTAGTAATTGGCTTTTACAGCAAAGAAGTCTTGTATTTTATTGTAGACCATGCTGCCATTAAGGCTCTGTCTGGCATAATTGCTATAAAATTAGGGATATGAGAGAAAGCTATTTTAGCTGTGAACAATGTGGGAAAAATAGAACTGTTAATACTGTGTTACAAGTCAGTTAACATCCAAGAGCTAAAAGGAATCATGCCATTTTCAATAAGAAAAACAAATAAAAGGGCGCCTGGGTGGCTCAGTTGGTTGGGCGACTGCCTTCAGCTCAGGTCATGATCCTGGAGTCCCGGGATCGAGTCCCACATCGGGCTCCCTGCTCAGCAGGGAGTCGGCTTCTCCCTCTGACCCTCTTCCCTCTCGTGCTCTCTATCTCTCATTCTCTCTCTCTCAAATAAATAAAATCTTTAAAAAAAAAAAGAAAAGAAAAACAAATAAAAGGTATCTAATAACTTACTTTTACTGAGAAATCTTCCTTTAACATGGAAAGTGAGTTTGAAGGGTAAGGAAATGGCTAAAAGTGTTTGCTGATGTAAAGACTCTTTCTAGACCAGAAGACATTATGAAAATGTCATTTTTCAAAGCACAAACACAAAGCCATCCTCACTTTAATTTCTGCTTTGGAACTAAGCTGTCATTGTTGAGGGCTTGTCAAGTGCCAGCCACTGTCCCTGGGGCTCTACACACCCTCTTTGATTCTCCTAACAACCTGTCACTTAGGTTTCCCTCACCTTTCTGACTCCTTTCTTCGTACAACTGATGTTTCATTTATGGGGCCTCTTCTGTGTACCCGGCACTGTTGATGGCACAGAGGATGTTAGCAGTGAATAAAACAAAACCTCTACCTCATGCAGCTTACATTCCAATGGAACCCAAGGCTGGTCGAGCTTAAAAGACTCCCCTAGGGTCACATGGCCGTGGCAGGGTCAGAATTTATACCCAGCACCCAACGATGCCCATGTGTTTTCCACTGCTCTGTGCTGCCATTTACTTAAACCACTTTCACTTTATCACACTTTAATAATATATAACTCAAAGGAGATATTTTTTTAAGCAAAAGGTTATATTTTCCATAAAAGAAAATGGTATCTTAAAAAGAAATGCTGTGAGTTTTAAAAAAGGAAACTTATGTTTTTAATATGTATTACATGTTTCAAAAAAAAACCTGCCAGAATTGAATTATCTAGGTTTTTTGTGTCCATGCACACACTAAAAAGCTCTTGGTTTTTATAAATGTATGCATGAAGCCAGATCTATTCAGATGGATCCAGATACTGTGTGCTTTTCTTTGGGACTGGACTTTAATACCAGCTTTATTGAAAATCAGAGATACTCTTAATAAACTTCTAAAGCCAGATATCTTCCCACACATTACTCTGCTAGCTGCATTTAAAACCTCCCTGAGCATGTTATTGTATCTTTTTTTCTTTAAAGATTTTATTTATTAGAGTGAGAGAGAGCACGAGTGGGAGGGGGGAGCAGCAGAGAGAGAAGGAGAAGCAGACCCCCTGCTGAGCAGGGAGCCTGATACGGGACTCGATCCCAGAACCCTGGGATCATGACCCGAGCTGAAAGCAGACGCTTAACCAACTGAGCCACCCAGGTGCCCTGCATGTTATTGTATCTTATATACAATCATTTTTGCTTGAATTTTCTGTCTAAAAGATAATGCCCTAACCAAAAAATCTTTATGGTGCATTACAAATAGTTGTCCTAAGGCTTTTGGAAACTGTACAGAGCTGGCTGTTGTAGTTTGCAAATGTTATGTTTATAATACTACCTGTGACAGGAAAAGAAAACAAGGTTTATGAATTCATAACTAGACAGATGTAATGGAGCAGAAATTATTTGTATAATTGGTTATTTTATTTTTCTCCTATTTTTCAAGATTGAATTATAACCTAGGTGAAAGAATTCTAAAATCAAAGTGGCATAATCAAACGTTTTACCCTTAAAAACCTTTGATTTTCTACAGTGTACAGAGATTACATCTTTTTTTTTTACTTTCTGACTCTTTTTTTCCTGGTCTCACTCTGTGGTCTTATTCTGGTATTTCTTACAGATTGGAGATCTACAGAGAAGCTACGTTGCTGCTCAGAAGTCGGAAGCAGCATTTCCAGATCATGTGGATACCCAACATTTAATTAAACAGCTAAAGCAGCATTTTGCTATGCTCTGATTGTCCCACAGACCAAGTATATCCTTATGAGGGCGCATTACACAAGGGAAAAAGTAGTGTTTATATATATATATAGGATATACAAACCTGTGCTTGATATTAGTGAAGAGGACTTAAGGGAGTTTACACAAGAATTTATAATGCATACTTGATAATAACTTGTATAATATTATAAAAGATAGGATTTAATATTTGTAAGTAGATCGTGAAAACTTCTCCCATATCTTATGGTAGATGTTTATAAAAATGTTTACAAAACATTTTCATGAATTTCCTCAAATGTTTATAAATGCATATTTTTAATGTCGTTAATTTGGCCATTAGCTAACATGTAGCTTCAGAGGTCTGAAATCTGCCATTAAAATTGCACCTTTATGGCTAGAAGTGTGTGTATTCATCCCAATTAGAGCTTAAAAATTGTATTTAAAACTATTTATCAAATGCTTTTTAAGACACTGTACATTTTCTTATATATTATGCTTTAAAATAAATCAGTGTATAATACACCATCATTCTGTCATTTTTTCATAAGTTTTTAGGCATCTCAGATAAAACAAGTTTTTCAGAAGTCCCGTGACCTTAGAAATCAAATCATAATTTTACTTGATGTAGCACCAATTTTGTATTTTCCTGAGAAGCTATTTATGGAATATCACATTGTCAATGTGAGAATATCAGGATTAGAAATGGAGTCACAGGCCCAGAGACTCACCTGCGGTCAGCCCTGAGGTTAGGCCAGATCCCAGGACTGTGCATCGCAAAATCCTGGAAAGGCTCTTGAACTTGTCTCTCCCATATTTAGTGGAATTCTCATCAGTGTGTTCACACTAGGAAATGTGTCCAATGGACAGAGCCACTCAAAATCGGAGTTTGGACTTTGGGACCCCTCCAGGTTATTTTTTCCAGGTTTTAATGTCGTGAAAACTATTTTACAGATACTTGTTTCTGTTTAGATTTAGGTAAGTAGTACTACTTAGCTGACAGAACAAAAAGATGGGAATTTGAGGAATTAGAGCACATTAGAGGCTGGCAGGGACTTCAGAGGATGTGTAGATGAAGGTCTTTGTGGCACAGATGACCAAAGCAAGGCCTGGGGTCCCACTGTTGGGTGGTGGTACAGTGGCAACTAGAACCCAAGACCTTGTTCTTGTGCTTTACCTTTTTCTGCTTCTCTAGCATATGAGAGTGCTAACTTTTGAGCTCATGAGAATTTCCTCAAGCGCGATCCAATGTCCTAATACTGTATTCAATATTTAGGTTGAAATTTTGTAATGTGAATCATTTTCTTAGTTAATCTAAAATAAGAGCCAAAGCTTGCATCTCTGGAGGATGTTGTATGTGTCCAGCACTGTTCTAAGCGCTTGATGGGGATTAATCCTTTGATTCCCGTTCCAGTCCTATAAGGTGCTGTTATTCCCATTTTACTTAGGAGAAAAATGAGGCACAGAGAAGTCAAGTAACTTGCTCAGGGTTATAAAGCGAGTGAGTGGCAGAGCTGGGATTCAAATGCAGGCAGTGTGGGCCCCCGAGGATGGGCTTACCCCTCAAGGGAAATCACCTCAGGGTTTCTCCTGTCAGTAAAGCTATTCGCATTTAAAATGAATGTTCTACGCATTTGTAAAATTGGATAATAAGGGAATATTAACACAGCAAAAAATGAGTCAGTATCCCTAAAGTAATCTGGAGATATTTTTGTCTTGAGTTTATGTTAATTCGATATGAACACCAATACAAAGAATGAGTCAGATGGCTCCAGGCGGAAAGATGGCAGAAAAGAACACTGTGCAGCTGAAGCTACATACATCTTTGTAACAAAATTATGTCTGGACTGCATCGCTGGCTTTAGTGCCAACGCTTCCACAGAAGGAAGGTTAACGATGGTCTGCTACCCTGGCTAAAAAGGTGTTCAATCCATATACAAATTGTTCGACCAAAATTAACATCATTGAGCTTCCCACTGATGAAAATAAGATCTGGCAAGACCACTGCCAGCACAGTAATTGTTGGGGCTGGAAGTTCTTCCTTCCCAATAGGTCACATCTGAACCAGTCCCCAGTGGTACTCATTGCTCTGTTACATTTCTGAATGGCATGTCCCAGCATCAGAGCACCCAACATAATTTATGGCCTAGAGACAAGAAAATTCATAAAGATAGCACACTCCTACACTTTTAATGTGGTTTCCACCACTAACTCTTAACATGAGGGATTTCTATCAAGAGCTTTCAACAACTGGGGTCGAGTTTAAGCATTCCGAAAAACCACAAAGATTTTCGAAATACGGTGGTCGGACCCAACACTGGAAAATAATGAACCCAGAAATGGAGTTTAGTTAAAAAGCCGTTCCTAGACAGCTTTAAGTTCTAGGGAATAAATGGGAATGGTCCGTGGATATGCTCCAGACTCCCAAAATGGTTATCTAGGCTCAGATATTGGGGGAATAAACTTGATTTAGCGATTTGAAAACAACTGCAGTTTTACATCCTTCCACATAGATGGCATTAGTCCTATTTTTGGCTGACTAAACACTTAACATTTTTGAGATGCTGTGATTTTATGTCCTTGATATTAAAGCCAAATTCTTGCGATGAAAGAATAAGGATTAATAAAGGTTAAATTATAATCCTTGGGGACTATACTATTTCCTGCACCGTGATCCTTCTCCTTCCCTGAATCCTGACCTATAAGGAGTCATTTGTTAGTGAAGTGTAAAGGACGGAAAGTCTTGGAGAAAGCAACCACGTTATCTTAGGGAAGAAAGGGTCAAACCTAGATAGATTTGAGGAAGAAAGATTTTTTTCGTATTTAAATAAAGTGGACCCTTTTCTGGTGTTTGAAACTCAAGTTTCTGTGGGCTCCAACACTTTACAACTGCCCCTGCCTCACACCTCACATGCTGCTCTGATCTAATAGCTTCAATCTCTTTCTTTACAGGATTGTTTCTCTCTCTTTTTTTTAAATCAGTCCCTTTAAACCTTCTCCCTTTCAAGCACTACCCTATCTCCTTTGTCACAACATTTTGAAAAGGCAGGTAATGTTTGTTGCTTACTTCATTTATTCCTTGACCCTCTTCAGTCTGGCTTCAACTGCAATCACTACTGGAATTCCTCCCACTGAGGTCATTAATAACTCCCAATTAGCAAATCCAGAGGATTTTTTTGTTTTGTTTTGACATAACAGCTTTTTTTGATATTATTTATATACCATACAATTCTCTTTTAAAGTACCATTTGATGGTTTTTAATACACTTACAGTTGGGCAACCATCATCATAATCAATTTTAAAAGACCGGTATGCTGAAACTATAAGAAAACCACAAGACATTCATGAAAGACATCGAAGATGTAAATAAGTGGAAAGATATTTTGTGCTCATGAATTGGAATACTGTTAAAATACCCAGACTATCCAAAGCAACCTACAAATTCAATGCAATCCCTATCAAATTTCCAATGACACTTTTTTTCACAGAAATAGAAAAAAACAACCCTAATATTTGGAACCAAAAAGAGCCCAAAAAGTTAAATCAATCTTGAGAAAGAACAACAAAACTGTAGGTATAATGCATCCTTGACTTCAAACTATATCACAAAACTGTAATGAAAACAATGTTTTGGCATAAAAACTGGTACACAGATGAATGGAAAGGAATAAGGAGCCCAGAAATAATCAATTTAGGATGAAGCAGTCAACAATATGCGATGAGAAAAGGACAATGTCTTTAACAAATGGTGCTGGGAAAACTAGACAGCCGCGTATGTGAATGGAACTGGAACACCTTCATACCCCATGCACAAAAATCAAGTCAAAACAGAATACTTGACCATAATACCTGAAACCATAAAACTTCTAGAAGAAAAACAGAGGCAGTAGGCAACTTGACATTGGTTTTAGCCATTTTTTGGATCGGACACCAAAAGCACAGGCAACAAAAGCAAAAAATAAACCAGTGGGACTATGTGAAACTAAAAAGCTTCCGCACAGCGCACAGCAAAGAAAACCATCAACAAAATGAAAAAGCAACCTACTGAACAGGAGAAAACATTTGCAAGTCATATATATAATAAGGGGTTAATTTTCAAAATATATAAAGAACTCATACATCACAATAGCAAAAAAATCTGATTAAAAAATGGGCAGAGAATCTGAAGAGACATTTTTGCATGGAAGACATACAGGTGGCCAATAGGTAACACGATTGTACTCAACGTCACTAGTCATCAGGGCAATGCAAATCAAAACCACAGTGAGATATCATCCCATACACGTTAGAATGGATATTATTATATGACGAGAAATAATAAGCGTTGATGAGGTTGTGGAGAAAAGGGAACACTCATGCACTGTTGGTGGGAATGTAAATTGGTACAACCAGTATGGAAAATAGTATGGAGGTTCCTCAAAAAATTAAAAATAGAACTACCCTATGATCCAGTCATTCCACTTCTGGGTATTTATCTGAGGGAAGCAAAAATACTAACTTGAAAAGTTATCTGTACCCCCATGTTCACTGCAGCATTTTATAATCGCCAAGACATGGAAGGAAACTAAGTGTCCACTGATGGATGAATGGATAAAGAAAATGTGGTGTCTATATACAATGGAACATTATTCAGCTATTAAAAAAAAAAAAGAAGGAAATCCTTCCATTTGCAACAACATGGGTGAACCTTGAGTGAATTATGCTAGGTGAACTAAGTCAGAGAAAGACAAATACTATATATCATTTACATGGAGAATCTAACCCCTGCCCTCCCCAAAAAACCCCTGAACTCATAGCTACAAAGAACAGGTTGGGGGTTACCAGAGATGGAGATGGAAGGTGGGCAAAATGGGGGAAGGTGATCAAAAGGTACAAACTTCCAATTATAAAATAAGTCCTAGGGATGCAATGTACAACATGGTTACTATAGTTAATAATGCTGTGTTGTATATTTGAAAGTTACTAAAAGAATAGATCTTAAAAGTCACTGAAAAAAAATGTTACTATGTGAGGTGATAAATGTTAACTCCTTATTGTGGTGATCATTTTGTAACATATACATACATCAAATCATCACGTTTTATGTTTGAAACTAATGTTCTATGTCAGTTACATCTCAATTAAATTTTTAAAAAAATTTAATGGAAGTTTTAAGGTTTTGTATTATGAAATGATGACTTTTTGCCTTTTAAAAGGCTATCCTACCAGATCAGACACGTGGAAATTTTTCCTATAGGAAGTGCTTAGTTATTCTCACTAGTTTTATATCTTAGAGCTACCTATTGTATAGTATTTTGACTTTTTCTTTTCTGTGGAAAACAGGTGTAGGTAAAACCCAGGCGCAAGTAAGAATTTTAGATGGCACTGGCAGAGTAAGTACAGGAAAAGTTAGAGAA